TGGCCTCTTCGCCCCGTTTTATTTGGGGGCTTGCACGATCTGATACCTTCTCCGATCGGATATATCTAGAAATCATACATCTAAAATATCAACTCCCACACTCAAGTTACTTACACAATGTATCTGCTAGGTCGTTATCCAGGGATTTCTCATAAATCTGGATTTGAATGTGGGGGATCTTGCTTTACGCACAAGTCTACCACATCACAGTCTCTGGCTGATTTCCGGTTCGCCGTCTTTTTGATAGGCTTCCATGCGATTTTTCACAATCAGCATATACTTAGTAGTAGCCTCCTTTGAAAAGCATTAATTAATAGGATGTTACTTTAGAGAGACAGGAAGTGCAGATTTGCGATTACTAAATACAACCCAACGTGAGAAGTTCCCTGTTTTGATCTTTGGTTGTTCAATTTACGGGTTCCTATGATAAAAATCGGGGGCCGTATGGGCCAGCCCCTATGGGCTCAGGAACTTTCACTTTGCCTTACAGTCCTTACGAGTAGACCTGCGTAAGGGCCAAACTATGGGGCTTTCAATATTTCATGGTAATGCGATAACAAGAGCAGTTCAATTTGGTTCTCTATACGTTCAAGTAATTCTTGACATTTTTGGATTGTTTTAAATTGACCACAATATTGACGTCAGAAAGAGGAGAAAATGAATAGCGATATCTGTCAGAATCGAGCGACTCAGAGGTATATGGACTAGATGTTGAATAGATTTGCAAGAGCTGATCTACTAGCTGGATGCTGCCCGATCTGATCAGTTCGCATAGGCTAGTTGGATACCCGGTACGAGCGTTTATGCCCGCGGGCGTGTTACGGAGTACATGCATAAGAAACAGCATCATAGGACCAAAGTGTACATAAGTATGCAAGCTTCCGAGTCCCTTATATGATACATCAATTCGACCCGCCCAGCCTTCGAACACCCAGCAAACCCGCCAGGTTTAAAAGGGGGCTGGAAAATCCCCAAATCTGCATCCCCGCCCGATCTATCGATCAGCCTGAATTTTGAACACGGTCTAGATGCGAAAAGGGGCTTCTGCGATCCGGATACCCCGGAGCATCTCAAAAATAGAGTAGTTGAATGAGAACTGTACCATCAGCATGAAAAAAGGAGATCATCTCGGCGATACCCGAGGTCAGGTGGATGAAGCTTGAGACTAGACTGGAATAGCTGGGAGAGGTTCTAGGGCGGGCTGGACTATGAGAGCTGTTAAAATTAGAGCACGCTAAAGCACTAGTTAAGTGATCCTCCCGGCTGACCTGCCGGCTGGGGCCAAAATGGCGTTGGCGTAGTGCCTAAACGACGCGGAGGAAGAAAGTGTTTGCGACTAGTATGCTGTATGACGAGTCGACGGCATTTTGGGCGAAGGACTCGTATTCCGTAGCGTGGGTCTGCTTGATTTCAGCGACCAGGGGAGATCGGAGGAGATCAGGGGAGAATCTCATCGAATTATAGCCAGTTCCCACAGTCACCGGTTCCCCTCACGGTGAAAAGTCAACGAGAGGCCAAGAGGCGGCAAATTTGAATGATTACAGTGATTTCAGAGTTGGAGTTATTGGAGTCAAACCCAATATTCAACTGACAGCCCCGTTCCTGGACCCGACCATGGAAGTTTGACCAGTGGAAGACTTCTCGAGGCAATGTTCTCGGGCCACAACCATCACCGACCAGAGAAAGACGACCTATAAGAGAGGCAGGAAGTTCTCGCCCGCCCCAATGGGCATCCTAACCAGTTCCCTGACTAGCCACCGGCCAGCGACCGGTAGATGGGGGGGAAAAATCGAACTTGTTCGCCATTCTATCCCTCCCACCGGGTTACAAACGGAGTACATCCTCGTACGGATACACAACGGAGCCACACCGACGAAAAGACTTCATCTTGGCCTGACGTCGATGGGAGGCCAGACCTTCCCCACCTTCCGCCAAGTGGATGCCGAGTCGTGTGCGCCGGCGAGGCTTCGCGTGACTAGCGTCGTGCCCTAGGGCAATGAAAATGGGACTGATCGCCGGCCAGAGTGGTGTCTCAGAAACGATTCATTTGGCGTGCGCAGAAAGTACTGTGTACATTCTGATGGGTCCCAGTTTCCCATTGTGTGGTGACGGGGACTAGCCCTGAGGAGTCAAATGTGAAACAATGGCGTCGATCGGAGGAGAAGGCCGGAACAACTGTGACTGGGGGATGTCGTCATGCGGTGGCGCCTCCTGCAGGAGTTGTCCATTTCTGTAGGGCACTTGTGATTGATCAAATAATTGCTGATTCATTAACCAGGTTGAGCCTGTACCTTTGTTCCTGAATCAATATGGGGGTTGGAGTGCCTTTGGTTATAATTGAACATATTCGCCAAGAAACCAACTAGGGGAAATTACGACCAGATAAAATCAATATTTTGGTCTAGATCTGATGCAATGTCAATGGAGAACCCCTCAATGCGATCCAAAGAATTGCATGTTAGGGTTAGCTCATTTCAGCCAATCACAGCCAATGCCCTGAACGGAACCAAAGGAACTACCTCCCAGCGCCACCGGACCACCAATCACGTATGTTGTACACGCAAGCAGTTCCGTGGTACTCGAATCCACCTCACACCGAAGTTGAATAAATATTATTCATGTTTAATATTAAATACCCATATTCACATGGTCTGTGCCTGAAATGGCCGAGGGGAGTGAATATCGTATGTGCTCCCCTGCCTAACCGCCAACCCCCTAGATGCTGCTATTTAGGGATATTGCGGTAATTACTAATAACTGCCCTAAGTGACCAGGTGAATGAAAGGAATATGGACAGACTGAACTCATAATTACCAAAATATGATGTCGAATATTCCAGCAAAACTCTCTCTGCTGGTCCCTATCCCCGCCAACGGTCTAGACATCCAAAGTGGAGGAGTTTAGATATCTCGTGGAGTACGTCCAAATGATCCACCTTCAGCAAAAAATGTATCAAGTGAAGCGCCCCTCCGGTGCCTGAACCAATAGGTGTACACTGTCAGGCTGTCAGGCCTCGTCTTGCCTCCCCTGGTTTCTCCCCGACTTGCGTACCACGGTAATTCCTACATTCGACGATGCTGGTTGGGCCTAGCGGATCATTGAAGGAAAGAAAAATAAAACAATTAATACCCCCATTCACCTACAATTCCCATGTGGCGCCCAATAATGATTTCGTCCCTGATCCACCACCAGGGACAATGAGGATGAGGAACGGTCTGGTTCCAGTCGGGTGGTTTGGCTGGTAGGTTTGACGCACAACGAGCAGGGGCATCTGCGGTGCATTTATTTAATAGCGCCGTTTCCCCCGATGTCAGTCTCTCCTTCTCTCCTTCAGTTTACTCATCCATCCATTCCTTCGGTCTTCGGTCCTTTTTGCTTTCCTAGTTCCTGTGCCGTGCACGGTCTAGTCCTTCATTTACCAACTTCATTCATTTCGAGAACAGGCTTCTTTAGATCTTCTGATCATTCCAATCTTTCGATCCCTCATTCATTTTTCGGATCAATCCAACTACCAACAACAAATCAGTCAAAATGGTTTCTTTCACCAAGCTGTTCACTGCCGGCCTGATGGCCACCTCTGCCCTGGCTGCCCCCGTACAGAACCAGAAGCGCAGCACCAGCAAGCGTGGTGCCGCTTACAATGACATCTCCACTGTCTCCGCTATGACCAGCAGTGGAAACGTCGCCTGGGCCTACAACTGGGGCATGGACATGTTCGGCAGCATGCCCACTGGCGTCGACTTCGTCCCTATGCTCTGGGGTGCCAAGGACTTCGGTGGCTGGGTCGCTGCCATCGAGACTGCTCTGTCCAGCGGAAGCGAGTACATCCTGGGTTTCAACGAGCCTGACACGGCTTCTCAGGCCGACATGTCTGCCTCCGACGCTGCCAGCTACTACCAGAACTACATCACTCCTTACTCCGGCCAGGCCAAGCTCATCACACCCGCCGTGACTTCCTCCACCACCGACGGCCAGGGTCTGAGCTGGATGAACTCTTTCCTGAGCGCGTGCTCTTCTTGCCAAATCACCGGTCTTGCTGTCCACTGGTACGGCAACAGCATTGATGAGTTTCAGACTTTCGTTCAGCAGGCTATCGACACTGCTAGCACCTACTCTCTTTCCGAGGTCTGGATCACTGAGTTCGCCCTCGCCGCTGATGTCAATGGTATCGCCGACGAGGCTACCACCAACAGCTTCGTCTCCGAGGCTATTGCCTACCTCGACGGTGAGGCTGCCGTCACTCGCTACTCTTACTTCATGTCTGCCGACAACTACCTTCTCTCCAACGGAGCTCTCAACTCTGTCGGTGAGACCTACTGCAACTAAGTGGATTCTTTGTAACGAAGATCGTATGAGGTGAGGTGGACGAAGTCTCGGCATCGGTCGAGTCACGGCGTTTAGATTTCGTGATGGACATATTCTGCAACAAAGATGGGTTTTCTTTTTCTCGGCGTCAAGGAATGAAACCGGGTATGCACGCATTCCGGCACTCTTCCAGCGTTTCGGCGCATTTACGGGTCTCATCTGGTTTTGTCATTTCTTTCTTTGTCCATATTAGATATCTGATGAGTCAATACGAGAATTCATTCTCTGAAGTTTCATGACCTTTAAGTTTCACTCCAAGATATCCGTAGCCGTTGAATGTGATCCGCGTCCATAGTTACTAGTTCAAGACCAACCACATCATGATAACATCACGCTGTACATTTTGATCTACCGCTTCCTGTGATTTCCTTACACTGTTTTCATATTAAAGATTGAATCGGCAATATAAAAGCATAATGCCTCATGAAATCCCGTAGTATCTTGGCAGTTCCGGCGATCCGACCTCTAAAACAACCTCAGAAAGTCTACCTCAGTTAGCGACCTGGAAAGCGGGGTATTAATCGCCTACCCTCATGACCGGTGGATTTCTCTTTTATTTTCCAGGGTCCAAACGGCAAGAATTCGATCGTACAACCAGTTCCAACACTGCTGTACAAATAAAACCTGTCGCGAAGATGTCTTTCCGTGAGCTACCCCACGAAATCATCTTTATGATAGCGACACACATCGAGAGCGAAAATGACATTTCATCACTGGTCCGGGCGTGTCGATCCTTTCATAATTTGCTCAACAACTATCTCTATGAACGAAATGTCAACCGCGGAGCTCCTGCCTTGCTCTGGTGCGCCATGCGCGGCCTCAAAACCAGTGTTGAGCGATTATTGAAAATACAAACCCGGGACAAAACAGAAAACTCCCTACAACAGCTTGACTCATTCAACTCTATTAGTTCACCACTACGTGCCGCTATCTATTATAAGCACGCTTCGATAGTCAAGCTCCTTCTTCAGCATGGGGCGGGTCAGACAAGTGGCCTCCCGATCTCGACCCCTCTCCATACCGCCGTGGAGTACAGCAGCGAAGAAGTTGTGCGAACCATCCTGGAACATGGATGTAATATCGACGTGACTGTTCCAAGGGCAGCAGAAACAGCTCTAGTCGTGGCCGTGAGAAAGCAAAAGCCAGGCATAGTGAAGCTGCTGATCAAGCATGGAGCGTGTCTGAATACAAAGCCGCATATTCCAGCCGAGGCGGTAGAATGGAAAAGACACATCTGGACGACCCCTCTACATACGGCCGTTGATGGGCAATATGAAAATCGTGAGATGGCTGAGCTACTTCTTTCAGAAGGGGCTGATGTGAATGTTCGATGCGGGGACGGGGGAACTTCTTTGCATCGCACAACACGCGACATGAATGTAGATGACTCTCGATGGCTTTTGGAGAATGGGGCAGACCCAAATATTATTGATAATGAGGAAAACTCCCCACTGCATTTTGCAATCAATCTTGGCCGTCACGGCGCGGAGCTTTTAGAGCTTTTTCTCGAGCATGGAGCCGATCCGAATTTGAGATGCAGGACGGCACCGACACACCCATTGGAATTATTAGACGGAATGGACGTTCTGGAAATTGAGGAGTTGCTCCGGGGCCACGGTGCTCATCTTCCTGACTCTACATAGCGACCATTTCAACTATATGGCCCTTGAAGCTATAGTCCAGTATCGATTTACAGACTCGGAGTAGTTGGTCTATAATTTAGTTCCACGGAGAAACTATGATTCCAGCAAGCGCAGTTCCTCCAATTCTCCGATACAAGAATTACAAAATAAACTAGCGACAGAGATTCGAGAAGCTAAATTACGGTTCGAATCTCCTTCAAAGGAACAGGCTTCAGAATCAATGACAAAGGGGGAAAAGCCCAATCTTACATGCTGGGCAAAGACAATTTTTCTCGCAATATTCTCTCGCTAATAGGTCTAAAACGAATTAAAGATCATTGGCATCGATCGCATTAACCCCCCCCATACTCAAAATACTTATTCCACTCAGGATCATCGATAAGCTCTTGTTAAGGCTCTTCTCATACGATATCGAAAACTCCGGTCCTTCATCGGAGTCCGGAGCGAGGCACGCGGGGGGGTAAATGATATTAACACCCTGCGTGATGCTATCTACAAGAGCGCGATACATAACAGGCCTTCCGAATCCAAAATCGGTTCCCGTGATATTAGCATTGCGATGATCTGTTTGCAGAATCGACATGGGCGGATACGAGGTTATTCGGATATTCAACGCAGTTTTGTCGCGTATATTTGCTATGGCATCGAGAGATCTGTCAAGGGTCTTCTTGGGCCGTACTATTGGCCATCTGCCGAAATTAAAATGCGAGTTTCCCCAGCGGCCATTCGGAAATCACCTCTGTCGCCGCAGGCGCAGTTACAGGAACTCTGTCTGAGAGTGCAGCAGACATTACATTTTGTTGAACCCGGGGGTGAAACTTGGGGCTGTGCATACGCCGTCGCATGTCAACTGCCTCAGACCAAAATAGAGGTGCTGAGAGATCTGGCTTGAAGAGGGGTGCCCGTAGTCGACTGACTGTTCGCCATAGGTAAGCGGAAAATGCGTCGTAAGTGGAAATTCGAGATCCGTCTGGCGGTGATGCAAGCCGTTTCAGCTCTGCTGCTTTGCTTTTTGGCAGATGAAAAAGGAGCATTTCCGCAGTGATGTGGTCCGGATGGCGCTCCGGCATTGGAGGCCCATCTATTCGAATTTCCTCCGGGGCCACGGGCTTAGTTAGGCGTGACACATCTAGGCATGAAGAGTCCCGAGGAGGGAAAGATGTCTGATTGGCGATTGCATAGCAATTCTCAGCTAGCTGATGCGTAAGACCTGCCCATCCATCACATCGTTTGCATAATGATGATGAGCCATGATGAAGACAAGTCCTCCACGGACGAAATTCACCTTGTACTCCGCTACTTCAGGGCTAAGATGAGGATGGGCCTCAGGCTTGTCACCATATGCAATGGGAGGTATACACCATTCATTGAAATTGGGTAGAGAAGTGCTGCAAAAGTTTTGCTGGGCAATATCGTGAAACGAGGGGTATGAATCACTGTCCTCGGGGGCGTCGAGCCACTGGACGATAAATCGCACCGTGCTTTCTTTTTTCTTCACGAAGGAGTGACCCCCGGACGGATCTTTCTCAATGGTCCCACAGAGGATTCGAGCTTGGCTCAGAGTTCGCTCAATGCCGGCCTCTAAAACATCGACCGCTTTTCTTTTGTCGCTGTCTTTTACTCGGAAGAAGATTGCAAAATTGCAATACGTGAGACCAGTCAGGTAGTCAAGGGTAGAAACCTTGAAGCGCTCCTCTTCAAGATCATTCTCCCATCTAAGGGGATAGAGATGAAGTGTTTCTTGTCTAGGCATTGTTGGGAATCCTGCAATGATAGAGAAAATGGGGGTTAGAGAGGGGAAGAATCTGAATTTGAGATAACGCATGTACTATTCTAATATCTCTTGTCGAGTGATGACGCCAAGGAAGTTCAGTTGCTCTGCTCTACCAATTGAAATAGGCAGTACGATATTTTGAAACGAAAGCGTTGAGAATAGACAGAAAAATATACAACTAGACTGCTAGCACCATGCACCCGATTACACTAGGCTACGGTGCATGCCATATAATTTTGTAGTATAAGGTTTCAGCCAATGCCGCAAAGTCTAAGTGACAAGTGCCATTTGGTACAATTTGACATTTACTATAAGTGCCCTGGGTCCAGTCGAGGACTTGCGATTCAAATCCAAACTCAAGTTTTTCCCCGAAATCACAGGCGCTAAATATATATCCTGAGTACCAGTAACAGAAACGGAGGGATAGCTTGATAGATACTCGTTACCGAACGCAAATTTGAAAAATTACCAACGGATTACAATCGCCCTTTTGAGGCAACCACTGCAATCATCGTCATCACATCTCATTCAAGTTGAAGTAGTGTTAGGTGCCCAGTGCCGAGACGGGACGCCTCACTCTGATTGAAACAAAACGATCGCATTTAGGGTCCGAGAAAATTGAACAACATGAACAAATAGCCAACTTGAGTGTTAGCAGGTGGCATAGGCGGTAAAAAAATTAGAAAATACAGTTGGGGTGGTCATGTTTCTTTGTCCAGGGACGATGCATGAATACTAAATCCAAATTATCTCCTATGTACACCGTACTTGAATCCTTTCAAGACCTGAAAGAGCCCTAAATGATGATTGGCTCGGTGAATAGTTGTCCCGATATCAACCACCAATTAGCGTACCACAACCGACGCTCGGGCTTCCAAGTCCCACAAAAAAATCCGCATCGATTCTCCAGTTTTATGAGTCAAAATGATCCCAAAACTACAACCAATCCCAGCATGTTAGCTCAGGGGAAGAGCGCCGGGCTCATAACCCGGAGGTACGTCACACCGAATCAATTACCTGATTTGAATTATCACTAACAGTAACTAGGACCCTGGATCGAAACCAGGACATGCTAGACATCTCCAATCGGGAATATCTCGGTTACCTTTTTTTCTTATGCATTTTTTTATAATATAAATGGGCCAACTCAATGAATATGCTGTTATTTATTTGTTCTCATAGCTCATCTGTCCTGGGTTAACCAGTATATGCTTTTTTTTTTTTTCCGTTGACTTGGAGGGGATTGATGAAATTCTCGGATATGATATCACATGACCGGATGTGTACCTCATGACTCGGAGGCATCACCATCACCATCACTAGGAATCAGTTGCCAACTTCATTAATAACAATATCTGGGGGCCTAGATTTGAAAAAGAATATTCTATCATTTGTTTTCGTTGATCTGGATGAGATTAAAAGTTGGAACGGATTGCTTCAATATCACGTGATAAACTGCGCGCCCGCAGCTTATTGTAGCCATCTCAAATAGTTCCTCCTTTTCTCTTTCTTTTTTCTAGCCTTATTGCTTTTGTCAAATACTTCACAGCTATTTCGACGGGGAGGAATTCCACTGAGCCAGCGTGTTGGGCCACTGGATCCGTTGGTATGATCTGAGAATGAATTTCCCAGGCCATCATCGAACATAAAATGTGGATTGTTTTGGAACAAGACTGAATCTGCGAGAGCTAGAATCACTTCCATCTCGTCCGACTTTATGCCACCAAATAGAAAAATAAACAACAATCCAATCTCAATTCAAGTATAAAAGGCCCAAGAAAATAAGACGGAGAGAAGGGAGACAGATCGAATAAGCTCTTTGTTCACACCAGAGACGGCCCACAGCTTGTTGAATTTTACATCCTACGACTCCGTCTATGAATGGGTCGGAACCATGGAATATATCGGCCTAGCCATACAGAGATACCGAGTCTCGCACAGCAGTTGAACGTTTTGAATGGGGGTAATATGGAATGAATTTTGGGTTTGGCAGGAATTATTTCTGGATTTAATATAATGGGCCGACATTTAGATTGAGAGACTGCCCAGGTGCCCTCACTGGGTACAATTCTGCAAAACAAACCCGCTCTCACTTATCAAGTCATTCTTCTCGATAACGAAGGAGAGGGCGCCTGTATAATAAGCACTTCCTTGAACATGTATCACCACACCATATCGTGTTTCGCTATTCTGGCCTTCTATGGGAATACCCTCTTCCACAATTGCTGCGGTGAAAGCTCCAGTGTTGAAATAATTTGATACAAGCGAGTTATACGCCCATGATTCACCCTTGACTCTCAATTTCTTTTCATGGGCCAATGCCATTCGTGCCGCGACACATGATCCCGTGGGAGATCGGTCAATTTGGTCACCGGCAAAGTAGCATAGGCCTGTCTCTGCCCCTGAAACACCGTCAGGCTTGAACCCAATCTCGTGATCGACTACCATAACTGAATATAAAAAGGATAGTCTCTCTTCCTCGGGATGCTGCAAGGCTTTGCGGACTTGCGGATCGGTTTCCAGATGGCGCTTCAGCTTTTTCACAGCGAACGTGACAGAGTCGAGATTGAAGTTACGCAAGCCAGTGGAGAATCCGAGCTCGTGTATATCGACCAATGCGTAAAATGCACCACCGTATGAGATATCGACTTCAATGGACGCTTTATCACCAAGCTCTGGCCACCTCACCTCGGCAGGGATAGGCACCTGTAAGTTCGTAGCAGCGCAGTACGCTGGCGTCGACAGAAATCTAACAGGGCGAGAGGGATCGGACTTTTGACCATCCTCAGTTGTAGGAACTGTAACGCGCACAAGACCGCATGGCGCATGAATGTTGACCTTGACCTCGCGAGCAGCAAGATCCGGCTTCAAATCATTTCGACGCGGAAAGACGGTGAGATCATGAGTGTCAACCAAAAACCGACCGAGGGCAATTGTGGCATGTCCACACATGGTGGAGAAACCGCTGTTGTGCGTGAACAAAGTTCCAATATGGGCCTCCCCTGAATGAACCAGTTCGGTTTCTGGAATGATGATCGCTCCGTACATGTCGGAGTGTCCGCGGGGCTCCAACATGAGTCGCTTTCGGATATTGTCATATTGACTCTTTGCTTGGTCACGCTGTTCGAGAAGAGTTCCCGTCAAACGAGGGAAGCCGGAGTAGATGATACGAGTTGACTCTCCAGTGGTGTGCATGTCAATGCACTTGATCGCCCCATTCTGTTCGAGTTGCTGAGCGACATCCATGGTGGCGAAGCTAAACGGCGATGGTAACCGGAGTGTCGAAGTGAATGATGGGTGGTGTGGAAGGTGGCTCGAAGTGATTGATTTATGGACAAGAAGCGTCGTGGATTTGTAATGACTTATGAACCTTGGAATCCCTTCCCCACGTTGAAAGTGGGCCACGTCGGAACGGATGATGCATCGCGGATGGGCCATCCGACGACGCCTGCGATATCACTCGGCGACTCGGACCACCTTAGCGATAAAAAACCCCCCTCAAGCGAAAATGTCTATTCAACTTCAAAGATTGCTATGCAAAATTTTGTGATTGCGTAGGTCGTCATTGTCGGCTTTTTATTTGCTTTCTAAAGATGTTGATTCTCTGAGACTCTGAGGTTTTGACTATCCTCCTCAAAATCTGCCCCGAAAAATGCAGTCGACAGTACTATGCGCTTAAAAGGGTATATCGAAGATTCATTCCTCTGGTAGAAAGATGCGCCGAGTGAAATTCATTGAATGTAACGCCCTGCATCAATTTATTGGTTTGGAATTTGAATGGACGATACTAGATAAATTGTGTAAAATCGCGCAAAAATATAACGACATTCCTACGATCAATGGCTTCAAGAAAACAGTAGTGCAATGGGAATTGATGGTTGCCCCGGTTTACAGATCAGGCTTAGCTGGAGATAGGGTGGCATTGTCATCCAAAGGGCGTCCTATTGGCCAACACGCCCTGCCATTACATGTCTCACAACTTCTGACAACCCCAAAGGCGTGAACACGACACTTGCTAAAAAGCAGAATTTAAATATCAACCGGTTTCCCCGAGTTCATTTGATGCATATCTAACCAGAAATTACATTGGTTCCCGAGGTCGCACCACTTTCAATCGTCGCGGGGAGAAACATCCACCCGCCCCTCAAATTTCATCGGCAATGGCCGACATCCCCGAGAGCCTCAATTTCCGCACTGCCAGCGCAGATGATGCATCCGCACTCCAACAACTGATCCAGGCCGCATTTCGTGCCGAAGATAGTAGGCAGGGATGGGTTGCCGATATGGCCATCAATTCGCGCTTTACAGTCGACATCGCCCACATCGCCAAGACAGTCACCGAGCCTGACAGCGACTTCCTGATAGCTTCCAACAAGGCCGGGGATACAGTGGCAACTATTGCCGTCTCAAGACGTGACACCGATCTCGCTCGTATCTTTATGCTGGCTGTAGACCAGCGGTGGCAACAGGCAGGGTTGGGCCGACAAGTTCTTGCGTACGCCGAAGAATATTGCCAGCGGACTTGGGGCGTCACAAGACTAGGTCTAGATGCTCTGTCTACGCGTCAGGAGCTCATTTCGTGGTACCTCCGACGTGGCTATTTGAAGACTGGAGAGACAAAGCCATTCCCCGCGATGCATACAGTGATCTCGATCTGCCGGAGGATCTTGTCTTTGTTCAATTTGAGAAATCGATAAGTCCATTGAATGCGTGAAAGGAGAAGATTTCCAATTCGGTGGCTTTGTTGGGCAGATATATGAGAATAGTATCGGGGTTGGTCCGATCACGCGGCGCGTACAACATGGAATTTGAGTTCAGTGGGTTTGGATTCCAAATCCGGGATGGATTTAGAGAACCATCGCACCGCGGCGGCTGTCGGTTGAGATGCCGGGGGTGTCGGGTTCAGGTTTTGTGTCACCAATGAAGAGATCACGGGTTATCCGATGTTCAGATCCAATGTTCAGAGATGCCAACTGGCAACATTCCCCAGAGTTGTAGTCTTGTGGAGTTGATTTATCGTCATAATGATTGCGGGGGTTGTATTCAGGTTTTGGGTGTGGAGCTTTGGAGTCCATAGATGAGCTAGTGGCCAACTCGCAACAACCGAATAGCTTGAATTATCATAAATGCTCGGTATCTAGTACCGTAGTGTTGGATTGGTGGGTCTTGTGCCTGATCTGGGTAATTGAACGCGCGAGATAGGGTTGTCCTGCCCAATCGGAAGCTCGCCTGGGCGGGTTTGCGCATGGCAACTCTAAATCGGGTTGCAGACCACATGAGCATTGTTTAGACCTCGATACTGCTGTTTGATCTATAAAGAAGTGATCGCATTCGCCACAAAATAACTCTACCAGACAATCAAGCAAATACAGTTTTAAGATATCCCTAATTCAGATCTCAAGATCGCTATGTCATCAATGCTTCACTATCTTGGCTTCGGCAAGGACGCACCTCCTACAAAGGAGCCTGTCGACGAAACACCAATTCGGGCTCTGCCAGCATCATGGTATACATCTCCCGAAATGTACGAGCTCGAACGCCGTGCCATATTCTCCCGGAGATGGATTTTCATCACACACAGCTCCCGACTGAAGAACACGGGCGACTGGCTCCGCTACGAGATGGCGGGTTATGACTTTATTCTTACTCGGGATCGTCAGGACAATATCAACGCCTTCCACAATGTCTGCAGACACCGCGCCTATCCGGTGATTGAAAAGGAGGGACAAGGAAATTCGAAAATCCTATCCTGCAGATATCACGGGTGGTCCTACGGACTCAATGGCAAACTCGCCAAGGCCACGGGGTTCAAGGAAGATTTGAAAAAGGAAGATAACGGGCTTTTCAAGATCCATGTCAAGGTCGATGTGAACGGATTTATCTGGATCAACATGGACGCGAAGGAGACACCGGAAGTTTCATGGGAAGAGCACTTTGCGAATGTCGACAAGCAGGAGCGTTATAAAGCATACAACTTTGACAACTACGATCTTGATCATAGTTATCAATTAGATGGCGAGTTCAACTGGAAGATCCTTGCCGACAACTTCAACGAATGCTACCATTGCCCGACAACACATGCCGATATTCCCGACATTCTGAACCTCGAATCATTCGACAGCGATCTCAAGGATGGCCATATTCAGCACCACTGTGAATCCACACCAGAGCAGAAGGCTGCCGGTCTATACACTGCTAGTACATACTACTTCCCCGCTACGGCAATGGTCGTTTCGTGAGTACCCCCAAACCTTCACATCAGAACATCATTCTAATGAGTCTAGCCCGCATTTCATCATGATCCAGAAATTCATGCCCAAGGGCCCGAAAGAATCCGCTATGGCGTACGAAGTTTACCGAAATCGGCATTCCTCCGAGGAAGACTTCAAGCGGATCAGCGACCTATATGAGCGCGTGATGAGGGAAGATAAGGTGCTTTGCCACAATGCGCAGAAGAATCTTGACCGTGGAGTTTTCGTCAACGGCCAACTGCACCCGAAATACGAGAAAGCGCCCATCTTCTTCCAAAGCACATGTCGGGATGTGGTTTCAGAGCACTTTGAACGTGAGAAGGCTGAGGGACACGAAATTTGGCCAGCCAGACAAAAGGTTCCCGGCAATTCGCAAGTGAGTGAGAAGGACGAGATGATGTGTGCGGGACTGGCATGTGGACCTCAGCAAGCGGTACTGGCCTGGTGAGAGGGATGATAAGTTGGAAGCTAGGAGTATGGCTTCAATGGATTCCTGTTTGTTTAGCGACATGTTATACATTATAGCTTATTAGAATGAGATTGAATTTATCTAATGATTATTGGAAGTGTTCTGCCCAGGCAGTGAATATTACGCACAACTGAAATACCGCAGAGCATTATTCTATTTCAGTAGGTGAGCAATGACCCGGAAAATCCATTGGTGCCCTTTTTTTTGGCTCCAGTAAATGCCAGCCAGAGCAGCAAAATATCTTTGTTTTCGAATTTTATTGGTTCCTGCAAGCCTTGGGAGAGCAGCCTGGCCATTGAGCTCTGCGGATGATTGCCATTTGAGCATTCATGAAGTAACCATTTGGATTAGGCGATGGTGCCGAGGGAACCTAGACAGTCCATTAATCCATAGCTGTATCTTTTCTGCGCACTGGGTGGAGAATCAGGCGCTCATAGTTCCGAAATGATCGTTCGATATGTTGTACATTGTCTTGGGTCGTTGATTGTAAAGATGCCGGCTTTCCGTCAGAGATGTAAAACTTGAACAAGAGTATTACAAAGAACAAGATTGAGAATATAGAGTTCTGCCTATTGAAATGAAGATTAATTGTGTTCAGAGCCACATCACTCCATAGCGGCCATTGTTGAGGCGAGTGCCTCAGGCTTCCCAGGTCTACCTACATCAGTCTCCCTCCTTTGCCTTCCTCATCTACATCTTTCATCATCTTCGTCCTCCATAACGTAGGCCTCAACCACAATCAACCAAGTGCAGCCTTGGAGTGTCCCAAAATGACCAAGGCTTTGCGATACCCCCATTGAAGCGATTCTACCCATAGAAATTGCTTGATCCGAACAGTTCAGGGAGCCGGATATATGGCTGGGTAGGATGCGGAGTAGGATACTAGATGGTATAATGTTTGTACCTCTAATACTACTAGTAATGCTTGGTATCTACCACACAGCTGACATGCTAGCACCAACTAAGTACTTCCTGGCCCGGACAATGGGCACTCTCCAGCTGCAATATAGAAACTTACGGCATGCACTAGTCCGAGTCTGCTTCCAAATTTACATAGGCATGCAGGCAAGAACAAGAGTATTTTGGGGATGCTGACAGCCTGGTGGAAACACTGTGTCTATTGCCTCTATAGAGGATATACTATATAGCTAGCTGCTGAGTGTAAAGGCCTCACGCCAGGCAACAGGTCCTAGCCAGTCTATGCCCACCTTCCATGACAGCTCTCGAGACCCTCACTCATCCCATCACCATCTATCTCTCACCCTCACTCTCTTTTCTCAGACCGATCGCTTTCTTCGCTCAGATCATCCGCTTCTTTCTATCAGAAAGTGACCTCAAATTCGAACAACATGCCAAAGAAACGCGATTACTGGGACACACCGAATCCGCGAGATCTCCCAGCTCCACCGGCTGGTTCAGAGAAGCAGCGATACTACAATGAGGGTGATCTTGTCTGGTATTGTCGTGTGGGACGTAGGTTAAATTGATATCCTGAGTCTAAAATGGGGCTTTTACTGATCAATCACAGAAACACAATGGCGCGAAGGAACGATTGATCCGAACACAAGAAGCACATTATTGCAAGCAGTATGGAGCACCCCCTCCTAAAAAAAAGCAAACCCTGGTGTGATGTCTAATTTAGAGAAGGTCAGAGACGACGAAACCAGTGAGGTTCACGAGGTCCCCGTCGAGCGAATTCGCCTTCGCCTCCCATACTGATTCACCTGCGATTATGGTTCGCCTTCGATTCTGGTTCGCTTTCCGTTTTATTCGCTTCCAGTTCTTATTCAATTTCGCCTCTTATTTCTGGAGTCGACCGGTCAAGCATCTCCTTCCAGTCTTGCACAAACGCATGAATCCATTTCCACAAGACTGGCGAAGCGACGAACATATTTTCTCGGAGTCTCGGTTCTTGAATTTCGGCGTATTGTCGTTTCCAATCGGACACTAGCGTGAGCTTCATGGCGATTGCTTTTCTGAAGTCCTTGTCCCGAAAATAGTCTTTTTCCTCTTCTTCAATTTCCAAAATGGGAGGATCTTCTTCATGAACTTCATTGTAAAGCGTAATGTAGTGAGGTAAACACCGTTTCTGTAAAAAGTATTGCCCCATGTCTTGATCAGAGCCACGCGCAAACTGCCAGACATTGGCAAAAAGATTGTAATCACGAATCGAGTCAAGGCTAAGAAGTCGACTCAATGCCCAGGCAACTTGACCCAATTCCAGTGATTCGCGGTATTTCTGGAATAATTTCTGGTCCGTGGATTCAGGAATAGCTGCAATAAAACCATCTATGAATGGTATTTGCAACTGTGGGCAAAGTTCGTCGCCGTATTGCGGCAAACCCGGCATGGTCAAAAGCGTAGCCTCAGGGATGGATGATGCAAAGCTCCAATCTATAAGACACGTAATATTACAATCATCATCGACAAATATGTTATTGGCGCTCAGATCTGGGTGGTGTAATGGAAAGGTCCCAGGGTTGACAGCTGGGAGTTCGAGTGTCCGTAAGATATCGCGGAGAGCATCGGCCACGACGACATAATCCACTCTGTTATTTGCTGTGTCGATCTTGTTTCCGATGGTCACGAAGTCGTTCCATAGGCCCACGGCCTTCTTGCATTGTATGCTGGATTGATACTCGACCGGCGTGGGAATAGGCGCCACGAAGCAGTTGGGCGAGATGGGTAGGGTCTCTGCATGCTCTGAGAAAGCAGAAACAAGGCTGTCATAGAACTCCGTCTCAGAAACGAAAGGTCCCCGTGGTATTTCCAGCAGATATCGACCACGCAACATGTGACCACGTGAAAGACATTCCTTGAGTTCAAAGGACCCAGCCTCTTCGAAGAGTGACCCGATTTTATCGAAACGCAACTGCGAAAGCTTCCAGGTAATAGCGCCGAGCTGGGAAAGAATTTTGTTCTTCTTAGCGGTCTCCAGGCTAGGTTGAAAAGCCTCGGATGCTTTCCAAAAGTTCGACAGCGGCCGTCCAGGCGCTTCATTCATCAAGATGAAAGGAACACCGATGTCGTTATCGGAGGAAGCACTATTTTGTGTATGTTAGGACCAGAAAAGTGCGATTGAGGATAGGAGAGCCCGTTACCAGTATTCGTATACCTCAGGAACTGGAATGTCGCTATGAGCTTTGAGGTATCGTAGCGTGGCAGCTTCGCTCGCAAGTAACTTTTCCGCCTGTTCCTCTGGCATGAAGTCTCTCGGATGTGGGGCTCTGAATACCCATCGTACCCCGTCTTCAAATGAAATGAAGACAGCCCAGTTGAAACTCCCCGAGGCAGGATGTTGTTCGGGATCGCAAACACACGGAACACCCCGTCGCAGTGCACTCGCTCGACGGCAAAGAGCTTGAAGATCGAACTTGCGGTAGAGGAAAACTTTATCAGAGCCTGATTTTGAGGACATTTCAAAGATTTGGTGCGCTTTCGGGGCGAAAGCTCCTGTTGTTCAATATGTCAATGTTGATGCGGCTAGCAGCGGTGACGAGCGATTATCCATTCACTCACAGCTCACGCCCCAGGTATCCTATCGAAGGTAGAATTGGGCCAAATGGTCAGAATAGAGTCGAGGAAAAAGTCCGTACGCGTAATTTGGGAATACTGAGCAGAGGGCAGAAATGAATGAGAGATGGTGATGGGATGAGGGTATGGGATCTGCGGGAGAGTATCTAGATACGGGATGACTCAGCATACTGGTGCCTGAGGCTGCAAAGAAGGTACAACGCAAGTACAACGCAAGTAGAAATTGGAAGGTATTTCAATTCGAACTCGCCGATACGCATACTATGTGATTTAAGGCTGGCATAAAACGAATTTCCGAGTGGATGCTGAGTCTGGTCAGGAACCAGCCAAGAGCCACTGCCAGACCGGCACGCATTAACACGAGCTTATATGCGCGATTGACAAGAAGGGATACCGGAGTCATAGATAGCAAAGTTTTCCTTCTTGCGTGGAATATTACTAGTAAATATTGAAGTTTTCCAAGAGATATTTGGGTACGCCAAAATTTGCTACGCCTCCCTAATCAGGTATCCCCGTCGGAGCTGATAGATCTATTTCTCACACCAAACCAAGCCTACTCCCATCTTCATAACCTATTTATTCTGCGACTACCCCACGAAACCCAACTTCATGGGTCTTGGACAAGCTCAACTCTACTTGAATGTGCGTCCACAGGTATAGCAGCAATAATTCTTGACCTTGCAACCACATCCGGGCGGCCGGGGGGGGGGGGGGGACCTTCCGTGACAAACAAATCTATAACACCTTGAGCAAAAGCAGGAAACGCCGATGTGATAGATCTGTCAGTATTCCGGAACTCATCATGTGTGAGAAATTGATTGAGATAATTTTTCGCGAATTTCGTGGAAATTTCTCAAAGAGATTTCACCGAGGTAGGAGTTAGATCATGGACATCTGGTATAGAATCTTGAAACGAATGAATTCAGGGCAATCGGTAATCAAATCAAGACATGCTTGATAATTCTTAGCAGAGAGGTCTGCTAGCCCTTGAACTTTATACTTTTCGGCAATTGCAAACATATGGGCATAAAGTTTGAAGTCCGAAAGTGACTCTGCTGTTTGCATCTTGTCACTGTCAACCTTCGTATCATAGTCCCTAGTATAGAGATAGGAGACGAGAGCCTCAATCGCAATTTCAGGCTCATCAGAGAACGTGTAACGACCTGAAGATGCCTCCTTTATGTTAATTAGCTTTAAGATATTCTCGATAAATTCTCCCATTGCTTCTTCTTCCTTCATCTCGAATTCCCTACTACAGGCAGCATTGAAGACCGGAGACTGAGCACAGATTATTATTCTGTGTACACTAAGCACTGTGCTTCCGCAGACTAGCTGGAAATCGGTGTATGCTCCCTCCCTTTGTAGTCTTCGACAATGTCAGAATCAAAGCCCATGCAAGGAGGATGAGATAGACGTACTTCAATAGACCTTCCATGGCCTTGGATTCCTTCGAGTAACAGGTACACAAGCGTAGGTTACGTATTAGGACTGCTAAGCAGCGTTAGAGAGGATGAAGACGGTGTGGAAACGATGGTTGAAGGAAGACGGATAGCTAGTAGGAGGAAGGTGGGTATTATATAGAACGTGTAATCATGTGACTGCTCTATTCTGGCAAAAAGCAAACATTTGCCAATGCAAGGAGAGATTGTCGCTTGGGATACAAAGTAATTGAAGAGAATTATGAGTTCGCAAGTGCCAAAAGAATTTCTATGTTATCAAGATTCTTGCAAACTGTTGCATTTCCCAAACATCGCAAAACCTTTCGCGATTCTATCTCATATCTCTTAACCAAGCAGAGGGAAACTCGAACATGAGAAAAATGCAATTTAAATTAATGTCCCACTTTTCGGGGAGGTTGGGAAAGAGCCGTTGGTGCATCAGGCATAAGGGAGCTACGGCCATTCCGAATTCGCCTCTCATTTACTATCATGCAGATAATCATTAGATGGCATCCCAGATCTTCATTCTCGATCAGTAAGAAAATAGAAGTGATCGGGAACATTCACAAATCGAAGAGAGCTGTCCGTTCATGGGAATTTCATCCTGACAGCCCCAGGTGAACAATCAACGGGCCAATTACTAGTATACAAAATTATATCACCGAGCCCTTCGGCAGATTGACCTATTGTGCCACACACCTTGAATATATGGCCAAAGGCTTCCGACGACAGAACTTGAATTATAGAACTATCTCACGTGATAATCGTGGCCTCACTTTAAGCAGCCACTCAGAAATTGCCATTTAGCGCGGAGTGTGCGGGGTTCAGCTCCATGGGGGTGGAGAGTGTCTCGCATTTCGGTCTGGTCTGAATGAATTACCACAGCCAGTTTGCAATTTTTTTGCGCTGAGACCCAGCCGAGATGGAGCACCGGCTCAGCCGCGATGAATACACGGTCGGGTGGGTGTGCGCCCTGGTAGACGAGCTCACTGTGGCGCAGATGTTGCTTGACGAAGAACATCAAAATATCACTATCCACAATACTGATACCAACGTGTATACGCTTGGTAGCATCGGTGGCCACAATGTCGTGCTTGCATGTCTGCCAGCAGGCCAACTGGGAGCCAATTCCGCCGCAACATTGACTATGCAGATGAAATACACATTCCCAGCTATTCGGTTCGTGCTGATGGTGGGGGTTGGAGGTGGAGTGCCAGGAAGAGATGCAGATATCCGGCTTGGTGATGTTGTTGTTAGCCAGCCGGCGAATGGCCACAGCGGCGTGGTGCAATATGACTTTGGGAAATCCACCCCGAGTGGATTTAAGAGAACGGGTTCGCTCAATGCACCACCTGCAGTTCTCCTTGCCGCAGTTACAAAGCTTCAGTCATACCAAGCCCGAGGGAGAAGCAGCTTGACACCGCACTTGTCGAGGATCACCAAACAGCCGAAGTTTCGACGTGGCAAAGCAGGCAACGATGTTCTATTCGAAGCGATCTACAATCATGTCGGAAATGAAAGCTGCGTATCATGTGTCGCCTCAAAAGAGATCAAAAGAAAGCGACGAGCAACCAATTCACCGGAAGTTCACTACGGTACGATTGCATCGGGGAACCAAGTCATGAGGGACGGCGTGGAGCGGGACAAAGTTAGCTCAGAAATCGGAGCAGTTCTTTGTTTTGAGATGGAGGCAGCTGGGATGATGAATAATAACCCGTGCTTGGTGATTCGCGGTATTTGTGACTATTCTGACTCCCACAAGAACAAAAGATGGCAGCCATATGCGGCCGCGACAGCAGCGGCGTACGCAAAAGGGTTACTACTCATGGTGCCAGCGGCAGAGCTGGTAAATACACAGAATGCCCCGAAACCGAGTACCGGTAATATTCCTCATTTGATTCCTTTTTTCTGTCAATCAAGCTCACATTAGTTAGATCAGATACCGCGTTTTTACCTTCCTTTCCTACGGAATTTGCAATTCATTGGTAGAAGTTCAGAACTTCATGTCCTCGAACAGAAACTGCTTATCGACAAAGATTGCCGGAAGATGGCCATCAGTGGCCTTGGTGGAATCGGGAAGACTCAAGTGGCATTGCAGTTCGTATATTTTGTCAAGGAGAACTATCCAGAATTTTCCATCTTCTGGCTACAGGCGATGGGCATGGAGAGCTTCAAGGAGGGCTACATGGGGATTGCACAAGCTATAGGAATACACCAAAAGTTGGAGAACGAAGAGGACCTGATGGTGCTTGTCCAGCAACGGTTATCTTCAAAGAGCGCAGGAAAGTGGCTTCTAATTGCTGACAACGTTGATGACCTGGACTTACTGCGTGGGCAAGATCAAATGAAAGGCCTGCTGAACCTGTTACCAGAAAGTGATGATGGCCTGATTCTATTCACGACACGACACGGAGCCATTGCCCAGCATTTAGCTGGCAGCGATATTATTGACCTAGGGAATATGACAGAACGAGAGACGATAGACTTGCTGGAGAGGTCATTGATTCGAAAGGGCGACTCACATGGCAACAAAGACACGATGGATCTCCTCGTCGAGTTAGAATTCCTCCCTTTGGCTGTTAAACAGGTAGCAGCGTATGTGAACACAAACAGAAGCTCTATATCGGAGTATCTAAGCTTGTTGAGGAACACACCGGAAGAGGCCATCGCGATCGTGAGCACGGATTTCAGTGATAAAATGCGCTACCCAAATTTGGCAAGCGGAGTTGCGAAGACATGGACAATAACGTTCAATAGGGTTCTCCAGCTCGACCCGATAGCGGCAGATCTCCTCAAGTTCATGTCTTGCATCGCATGGAGGGCAATTCCACACTCAATTCTACCCTCAACCTACTCCGACGTACAGCTAGCAAGGGCCATCGGCCTACTTTGCTCGTTTTCGCTTATAGAGAGAAGGAACCATGGCACTAAACTCGACATGCATAGGCTGGTTCATTTAGCGACCAGGTTGTGGGTTGCAAAAAGTGGCCAACAAGGGGAGACAACGATGGCGGCATTCAAACAACTCTCGGAAGTTTTTCCGTCTCACTATTACACCGATCGTGAAACATGGCGCGAATATATGCCACACGTGGCATATTTAGAGCGGTATAACCTGCATCATGATTCTGCCGAGAGAGCTGAGCTCTGTATGAGAGTCGGGAAGTGTCTTTTGGTTGATGAGCGCGTGAAAGAAGCCACTGTCTGGCTGCGGCAGTCTTGTGAATGGAGGGAAAAGAATCTTTCCCCACATCACACGCAAAGACTCACTTCACAGCGTTATCTCGCAATGGCATATCGACAAAGCGGGCAGCTCAAAGAGTCAATGGAGCTCCTTGAGTATGTTGTTGCAATGGCAGTGGCTGTTTTAGCAGAGGATGACCCAGATCGCTTGGTCTCGCAGTACCAACTTGCGGTATCTTATCAAGCAAACGGACAGACCGAAGAATCGATCAAGCTTCTAGAAAATATTGTTTGTATACAAACTCACCTGCTGCCACATAATGATGACAGACGACTTGGGTCACAGCACATGCTCGCAATGGCATATCAAACAAATGGACGAGTCCAGGCATCAATTGAACTGCTCGAACACATTACTAGTGCGGAGGCAGAAAAGCTCGCAGAGGATGATCCCAAACGATTGTCATCACAGCACACACTCGCGATGGCATATTCTGAAAACAGTCAGATTGAAGAAGCAATCAAACTTCTGACGCATGTTTGTACCATTAAAGCAAAATCTTTCGCAGAAAGTCATCCAAACCGGCTGGTGTCAGAGTACGCGCTTGCGATGGCATATAAGGACAACAGTCAGATTGCCGAATCAATCAAACTCCTGAGACATATTACTACGACAGAAGCGACATTTCTCGCAGAAGACGATCCATATAGATTGATGTCAGTTAATGAACTCGCTTCTTGCTATGAACTCCTGCCGAAGGAATCTGGAACGGATCAGCCGACCGCATCTTTCGTGGGGAAGTTTCCAGCAGATCAAGGAGGCCAACCTGTGCTGAGCCGAGAATCGTGGGGATCAGAAGTGACCTGGAATGCTTTCACCACTTCCGCCACGGGTTTTGATCAGGTGCCGGAGCATCAGGAACTGGGGTTGAGGAGTACATCTAGAAGTCTGCTTTCTAGACCGAGGGAGAGTGTTCTTGGGAAACGAAAGAAGTAGCGACAGAGTTGGTTTTCTGCAATGAAAGTGGCGAGTATCACTGAAAATCTCCCTCGTTGGATACATTTCACAACTACGAAGTTCTTTTTCAGTGAGACTGGAAGAAATGACATCAAGCGCCACAGCTATTGTCCTGATTGATTGTTGGGAGGTTCCTCCGGATCAATCCCAACCAAACAATTAACAGGCTCACCATCAGGACTAATATTGATCTGACTCCTCCTCGGATCCCGCCAACTCCCCGAAAGCTTCGCCTAGCTATCCAAAGCATTAACCATAGCCTTTCCCATATCAAGAGCCCGATTAGCACGAGTGTGCGAATAATGCGTAAGCAATCTCCGTGTAGCATTTCTCTCTCCATTGACAATCATAAATTTGGCACTTTTCTCAACCCACTCGATATCTTTCCGAGACTGGTCTTCAAAACCGATGAATGCCCGTTTCACAATGGGCAGGTATGTACGCGGCGCCGAGCACATGTAGTATAGTACGCGCTTGAATAATCGACCCGCGAATAGACTCGCTTCTTGAAGTTCGTAGTCTGGGTTCAGGAATGTGGATTCAGCATCTTTGCTCAGGTAGCGATGTTCCCCCAGTTCTGGCGGGATGGACTCTGCGCCCAGCCACCAGGGGATAAACGGCGCTGCGACGGAACTAGTTGGCGCTATCCAGATACGATACATATCAGGGTCAGTGTCTGGATGTAGGCTAACAACCTGGCCATATCCGGCCTCGTCATTGGAAATTCGTGGGTCGCGGACACGTTCGATTAGGTCTTTCTCCGTCACGGGGACCATTGCCTTGGTTAATTTCTCGAGCCGATCGGGCGACATGTACTCGGCATCACCGCCAGCAGGAGTCTCTTGGCCTGGCTGCAAACCGTAAATGCTCTTGATATTGAATGGTTTGCCAGATTCGTGGCTCCACCAGCCTTGGTTGACTGCGAACGAGACAATATTGTCCGAAGCCATATAGTTCGGATCATTCCTGAAGTTATAGGGAAATCGTGAATGTATCCAGGGAAAGACACACGAACATCATTCGGCCCAAGTCTCTCAGCAGCCCAGAGGCCCTTCCCACCGGCGAATTCCCATACAATCCAACCCTCATCCTTATCAGCAATGAGATGGGTATTCCCACCATAGTCCGAGTATCCATATTTCCCAATAAGTTCGCCAATAATCTGAACTCCCTCTCGAGCAGAACTTGCGCGTTCCATCACAAGTCTTGCCAAGTCAGAATAGGACGGACCTTTCTGCGGCTTGGGAGTCATGTCTAGAAGCTCTGCACGACCGGGTGCCCACACATCACGAACCGCGACACCCTTCTCATTGACACCTCCATTGGATATCGGCGGCGGAAACCCAAGGTAGTCGCTGTAGTCCATACTGATGTATTTGAAAGTATGGCGAACTTGTGGGATGGTGGTCAATTTCCCGGGAACGACTGCAGCGGATGTTACGCCAACAGTGACGGTCTCATTTGCGGCATGGTCGGCGGCAGAGTAGATCTTCAGCCAGTGACTTGAAACTTCCTCTCCAGTGCCGCCGACTAAGACGGCTCCCGAGGCTGTGAGGTTCGATCCCACGTAGAAGGAGTAGCTAGCCGTGGCAGGGATACTGCACAGGGCAATGCTAGATTTCAATATAGTAATGTGTCTCTTCATGGTGAAGGAAAGGAGCAGACTTTGACCGAATTGAAGTATGAAATGTCCATGATGTTGGTTCCTTTTATACTATTCCACAGAGTGTAACTATCTTCTACAACCCCTGGAGTATAGAACGCTTGTTCCTCCTCAAGCAAGTATTATAGTCCGCCAGTTGAAGATCTAAAATTGAGAGCCAGGGCATGCTATCTCGACTTGAATATCATTTTCTACACAAGCAGGGCCTACCGAGTGACGCTTCCAAGGTTGGATTTTGCTGCGCTTCGAAGCCTTTATTCCTGTGTAGCTGTCCCAACAGTCCATAAGGCCTTCTCGGGATATCCGGTAAAGCGACCTTAAATTCCCCGGTTGCTGTTGGCCCTGCCCTTTCAGGAAAATGCGAGGTCGCGGGGTATTAATGAATTCAAGGCCTCCCATTAATCTACAGCTAATCAAATGGATGACCGAGCAGCCCCGAGATCTGTTAAACGCTACGCGGTACCCGCATCGGATTTAACCGCTATGAAAGCCTTGGCTTTTGTCGATCCTACCCGTGGAGCTCTTTTGATATTCATCCATTGTCAATTGGAGATCGAACTACCAAGCTATTCTGTATGTTGAGTCGAGAACTACAGTTGTCATTCACGATTTGGCGGTATAAGAATATTTGATTCGTAAATTTGATGCCAAAAAGTCAAGAATATGCAGACAATGTCAATACCCACGCCTCAATAATCCAGCCAAAGGCCACACATGCAATGCCAAAGGCCCCAGCCAAATAAAACACCAAACACCGGGTATTCCCAAATTTAGATAACAAAAAAGCTCAACCGTGGCAAGCCCGATGCAATAATAATAACCGAAAAGAGGCTCAAAGACGCAGCGCAGAAGGTCGCGGGGGAGGGGGTGGAAGGGCAAAAATAACGCATGGCTTCATGTCATCGTCACGTCTTGCGATGGTGTATTCGCAGCAGATGGGTCCAGGGGAGTTTCGGCTTCGGCTTCGGCGTTGGCTTCGACATCCGCCATATCTTTATCTTCGTCCTCCTCTCTGGGACTGACAGCAGTGACACCGTTGACGAGGGGAGTAGACGAGATTTCCTCTCCAGGAGTCCGATGATCCTCATCAAAAACCTCCTCCCACAACCGAACCGTCAAATCAAGACCACAACTAACCATAAGCCTCTTCCCATCCAATTTCCCCGTATTCACACAAAGAACAGGCTCCGTATGCCCCTTAATGCGCTGCAAAACATTCTTACTAACAATATCCCAGCAAAGGATATCCCCATCCTCACTCCCCGACACAGCAAAGCAAAGCGGAGGCGAATATTTCACCTCAGGCTCCCCATATAAACCAAAACTGCCCGAAAGACTGTACTTGGTATTGACGTGACCCTGGAAAGTCTTCACAACGCGGGACTCAACATAATTCCACATCCGAATACACCCATCCAGCGTCCAAGCCAGGATGTATTTCCCGTTCGGTGAGAATTTCACACACGTTGCGGGTGGGTTGTCTTCGTGGACTAGAGTGCGCAGACACTGGCCGCTATGCGTGTCCCAGACTCGAACTAGTCCGTCGTGCGCGCAGGAGACGATTAGCGTGCCGTCGTGGACGACGTCTATGCCAGCGACGGGGTCGGAGTGTGCGGGGAGTGAGCGCATTACGCTGGCTCGTCGGACGTCCCAGAGGAATACGGCTTCATCGTAGGAACCGCTGACTAGGATGTTGCCCTTCGGTGCGAAGGCGATTTGGTAGACGTAGTTATGGTGGCCTACGAAGGGTTTGGTGTGTGCTCGACCCTGGAGAAGAAGAATGACTGGTTAGTCTTTTGTGTATGGAGGAGATGGACGGGGTAGCCTCGACATACGGTTTTCACGTTCCAGAATCGAATTGTTTTGTCATCAGACCCTGATGCAATCCACTCTCCATCCGGACTCCAGGCCAATGTTGAGATACCGGAGAGATGGCCTTCGAATGTGTATATGAGTTTGCCGGTTAGAGTTTCCCAGACCTTGATGACGGCGTCGGAGCCTTTGAGAGGATGTGATCAGCAATTGGGGTATGAATAATTGAGGGAAGAAAGACATACCGCCACTCGCAATCATACTGCAGTCTGGAGAAAACTGCACCGTCGACACACCGCGGAGATGAGCCTTGAGCACATACTTTTCTTTGTAGTTCAAAGACTCGGGCTTCGAGGGAGGGGGAGGATTCGCATTGGTAGGTGGGACAGGTGTTGATGAGCGATTGGAGAGATCGTCTCGCGAGGAGTGGTGATTGTGTTCGTCTCGTTCTCGGCGGTCTTCAGAGAGCGCGTCCGACTCGTCGGGGGAGCGATCCTCGTGGTTGCGCTCAATCGGGGTAGGGCGATCAATGGGTGAAGGGCTGCGGCGACGAGAGCTGGAATGCGAGTCATGCCAATACTCGTCTGCATCTCCAGCTACCTCACCTGGACTGTCGGACTCATCATACTGGCGTTTATTGGGGGATGCGCGTTGCGGGGTGAAGTTCTTTTGGTGTGACCAGCTTGTTCGGCGGCGCTTTGTCTCTTCGCGATCTGAGCCCGCGGCTACGTCATCGGCGGAGGATTCACCGGGGGACTGGTCGCGAGTCTCTCGACGACGACTTCTGGTTTGCGCATTGTCCATGAGGATTGGAGATATTGGTGAAGAGACGCAACACTGCGCAGCGCAACGCGTGAGTGACGGGAAAATCCAGGCGCGTTCCCAAGGCGGTGAGACTGCCACAACCACACTGCTGCACTGCACTTCACTCCACTTTACTGCACTGCATTGCACTGCATGGCTACACTAAGGAGATGATACAAATAAAATTTGAATGAACTAAAGCAAACCTGGGTATTTCAAGATACTGATCTATTTGATTTCTGGTCCATTCAACATTGGAGAAAATCCTTGTCATGAAGTTCTGATCCAGTTCCCGGTAAATATATTGGCTTCAGGACTATAACAGCCACCAGCGCTGACCAAGACCTGGGCAGTAGACAGAAGAGCATTCAGTAAACCACAGTTTCGTCTTATGTCAAATTCACTCTGGTGATGCTCTTCGTCGATTCAACGTCTCGGAGCCGCCGGGCTGGGCTTTTGGTTCACCATTTCCAAGATATTTTCCCTTTCTCGCCCCGCGAGTTCCTCCCATAAATTATCCAGCGCAGTGCTCAGAGAATGACGCTGGTCATAGTTTGGATCGGTCTCAGGAGGAAAATATCGCCGACAGTCAATTGTCGGCCCCCACATTCGTGTCATGTTCGCAAGGGACGCCGGTTCCTGGAGTTCGTTAGCTTTTAAGTGGCCCAGAGTTCCGATTTGCGCTGTCCACGGCACGGCATGACTCACTGGACAATTGAGTTGACGTAGCCAGCGACGGATGCATTCCTGTAATATCGAGACCTCTGTAGCATGGGGAGGTACTTGAGGATCCGGCTTAAACAGTAATGCATAGTCTGGAGATGACAGATTCAGAAATTTCTCAAAGCACTCAATATGAAAGGTGCCTGTGATAAGATATTTTAGTCTCCGCCAAAGAAAACGGCAATGTGAGTTCGCCCGGATGAAATAAATGCAATTACCTCGAAGGAAGCCGGCGCCAAGCGGGGGCTGGTGCCAGCTCATCTGATCAGAGATTCTGATCAAACATTTCCCCGGCCATATTAACTCACCGCAGTGGCTGAGATAGCATGGCGCTCCGCTTGAGAAGCTGGGTACTTTTTGAAAGAGGAAAGTTAAGAGGCGCATTCCTGGCTGTAGCTCCATGGTCACCTCCATTTCCAACACCGACTTCACATAATTCTGAAGATTATTGATCATGTCTTCGATATTCGCTTCTCGTCTCTCTTCTGGCGACATCGTGAAGTACTCTTGTACAGGATCACGAAGACGAAATTCACGAGAGGTACCGTCGTAGTGAGACTGGCCATCCATTTACCTCAGAAGAATTGCAAAGGAACGACGGAAAATTGAATCCCGAAGGGTATGGAGGAGGTGAAAGAGGCGGGAATGGTACTTGGCAGGCCCTCGAAGTAGGTCGAACTCACGGGTTCACCATGACTGGGGCGCGAATGAGGCAGGAGCGACCCGGGGAGCATTGCACTACACTATACTGCGAGTAATAATGAATGGGTAGAAAAGAATCAATTAAACTAAGCCCGGATATTCCGGGGCCATTGCTATGCTTAACATAAGATTTGGCAAGGGAAACAAAGTAGATCTTGCAATACATATTGTCTATGCTGCGATATCCTTGTTCAGAAATCAGATCCAGATCTGAGAAAGATATGCTTCCTTGAAGTTGATGACCATGAAAAGATGCCGGTGGTGACAGGAAGTGAAGAGAGGAACATCATTGGTACACAATTGCCTCGCCATATGTTTCCAGATATCTAGCGCCGCTCCTCACTCATTCAGCGAAAGGCTAGGCTGGGAGTTCGTCCCTTATCCATCAAAGAGATCCAGTGGTTATACTGGACAAGCATCCGGGCATTATGGGCTCGCCGGACATCGTGGGCAGGTCGGACAACGTGGACTCGTCGGCCTTCCTTCGTAGTAGAACAGCATTGAGCAAAGCCCCAGGGCACGCATAGGCATTGAAAGGATCGACCGGCGATATCTTTTACCGTACATATTGGACGATGCACATTAGAGTCGCAACCGAATTCTGCTTTTTTGAGGACTTCGAGATGACTTTGAAGTTGAAAAAGAAAGCGTGTTCTTCCATCGACTTGCTTCAATTTCTCCTTGCTTTGCCCCATGCATCTCCCCTAGGCTGACAGCTGTCCGATTCGATCATTGCTCTGTAAATTTCCAGCGCTCCTGTCCCTGCAGTATAAGATTTGCCCGAGTGAGGGAGTTGCCCGTGAGATAAAGATCGCGCTGAGATTGGGAATGGCTGGGTGTTCGGTTTTGAAATAATATCGACTGTTATGGTTGACCGCAAAGGTTTCGATAATGGTCGAACCGCCATCCCGCGAAGGATGTTAAGAAGCTGGACAACCCCGCGCGGGTTTTCAAGATTTGTCTCGGTGATTCTATAGATATCAGCCATGTGAATTTGATGTGATGAGTCCTGACACTCACATTGGACGTCACCGAGCAACACAATTCATCGAGCGACGCATATCGCAGGGTATTGAAGAGGGAGATTGACGGAAGCTCCGAAGCAGAAAGTGGTGATGCATGCGAATATGCGTGGACGACAAACGCAGGGAAACTGAATGCCCGAGGCAGAAAACGCTCATCCGGACCGCCCGTCAACAACATAAACAGAATGCGTTTGTCAACAGGGAAAACAAAAAGGAAATGAAAAAAAAAGGACCCGGTGAGTCGACGAGGGTGAATTGTTGACCTGAAGATTCTGACTAGAAAAACGAAAAGATCAACTCCAATTGGGTATATGTCTTTCACCCATAAATAGTCTGCTAAGATGGGCCTATTATACCAGGATAGGAGGCATCGAGGTCTTACAAATAAACCACGCCTTCACTCCGAGTCTCCTTTCCCGAAGTCCAAGGCTGGTGACCGACTTCGCTGTTCCTATAAAGCTCTGCGCTTATGTCTTTCTCCCTTTCCCATGTATATCTTGCCACTTCAAGTTTGTCCGTGCTTTATGGCCTCCGAAAACTCCGAAAACTACATACCCATCCTGACCAACTTCCTTTGCCCCTCATCAGTAAACATCAACAAACCATTCTGAAACCCAACAACCCAAATCATCGGATACCGCCAATGAAACCACATCGGATGGTCTTCAGCCCCAAACCACCCAAAATGCCGATCAAGGTTATAACAGAGATAATTGCAACTACTCAAAACGAGCAGTGAAAGCAAAGCCGTGAAATGGGCTGCTTTTTTGCCGTAATATTGGTCGACAATAAAGCAGTTTATGATTCCACCCATAGCGCCGCCCATGCCTAGCGGACAGAAGACGAGTGTCCATAGGACTTTGTATAGAAGGTCACGGGTGCCTGACATGATCAAGATGCCGACTGCGAGAAAGATTATTTCGCCGATGAGTGATCCGCCGTAAAATAGGAGGAATGGGCGGAGGTAGATCATGCGTCGCTTTTGGGCGGTTTTGATGTCGCCCTCTTCGGTGTACAGGACTTGGAAGTTGTTTTCTGTCATCGTGGAGATTGGGATGGTGTTTTTCTTTTGAATCGAATGAGAAAAAAGAAAGTAAGATGCAATCTGCTTATAATTAAAATAGGGACATACCGGCATGGTGATACCTCTCGTGTATAAATAATAACCTTGGATTGGTATTTTGATTGATTGGTCTATTGGTACTTAGGGTTTATGATCGTGTAATCAAGCAATCAAGACCGAGTGCCGAGGTGGGAGGGAGGATAGACTGCTCGGAGTGAACATTATGGGGCCATTTGTGGACGAACGTTGCACGGATGAGTGATCAGGGGTTCTCAATCCGAAACTTCCGTCTTAGCATACAGCATTTTATATGCGGCAGTGCCGATGCCGACTGGCTGCAAAATTACCGGAATATCGCGGTCTTGTTTAGTCATACGTTGAATTAACGTTGGTTTGTAGTAACCAGTTGTCGGTCAGCCGGATATTGATATTGACTAGTACTCATGAGGGATAATCAAAATCCGCCATTGGCCGGTTGGGATTGTAAGGCCACGGAAGATTTGAACAGGATAGTGAGTAGAGGCGTATACATTTCTCCACCGGACGGATCAAGAAATTGGCTTATACTGACGGATCTACGAACGCTTTGTTTTAAGTCTACAACCATACTGTAATAGCATAAACGAGTGTTTTATTTCCTCATAGCTAAATCTGGCAAATTATCCAGCCAGTCCTCATCAATCATCATCAAAGCCTTAAGGCCGTCGAGCATCGTATTAGCAAGTGAGCGAAATTTACTCAGCACACTCGCGCTTACGCTGGTCAAAGACAGCCAGAGCTTCCTCGGCAGCCTTGACACCGCTCATAGCCATAGCACCGAAGGTAGGACCCATACGGTTGAAGCCGTCGATCTCAGACAGCTCCATTCCACCGATGATAAGACCCTTGGTGACCTCACGGGTGTTCTTGACGATAGCGTCCTCGGCCAGGTTCATATCGAGACCGCGCATGCCGCCGAGCTTCTCGATAGCGTTCATGGAGACGAGACGCTTAGCGCAGAAGGCGCCGAATGGGCCGTCGTGGCCGGTGGTACTGATGATGATGGGGGCGTTGATGGTGTTGGGGTCCATGCAGGAGTGGTCGTCGTGGTGCAGGGTGACCAGGGTCCAGTTGACGACGACACCGGCGAGGCGGATGTCGGAGCCATCGGGGCGAGTGATCAGGTCCTCGACGCAGGTGGCGTTGAAGAGCTTCACGTTGGGGAAGGACAGGACCTTGGACAGCAGGGTCGAGGTGAAGAGGGCGGCGTGCTTGACGACCACGAAGTTGGGGTTGTTGGGCTCCTCTTCGAAGGGGACGCCTAGCTCTGTCAGGAAAGCGTCTGCGGGACGACGGAGAACCATGGCGGAGAAGAGTTGACCTCCGAGCCAAGCACCACCACCTAGTTGAACTTGTTAGTTGCTGTGGACTTTCTATGATTTTATACGATTGAGAACGCACCAGGAGACACAGAGGCCTCAAGAATGGCAATCTTCAGGTCGGGACGAGCCTTGGCAAGGACGTAGGCACTGCTCAGACCACAGGAACCAGCACCAACGATGACAACATCGCTCTCGGCGTAGTTGTCCAGATCCTGGAAGTAGCGGCGAGTCATGGCACGGGAGACCTGGCTCTCGCGAATAGGGGCGAACTTGAACTCATCCCACTTGCCACCGAACTGATCGAGGAGCTTGCTCTGGCCTTGGCCGGTCAGGGTGGTAGCAGCCGTCTCGGGGACGATGACCTTGCCCTTGATGCCGGTGGGCACAGTGGTGGGCTCGAAGATAGCAGCGGGGGGGAGACATTGTGGGTTAGAGGGATCAAGTCGTGGAATTGACTTGGGCCTTTTGTTAGTTTAGGCTCCAACGCAGAAGGGGGAATGGAGGGGGGAAAGCATGATCCTTTCGCTGGTATTATCCAGATCAAGTTTTCGCCGTATAATCTCAGGACGAACCCACGTTGATGGGGAGGTTTCTCAACCAAATGTAAACAAATGGAAGAGAAATCATCCACCAACATGAGAACGAACACCGGCTCACGCCCAGAAGTTACCTGGTATACCTTGATCCCAAAGAGATAATGTGCCCAACCAAAGCATGTTCATAGCTTCCCTGGTGGGAGGGCTGAATGTACTTGGAAATTGGCTGGGGAGAGGTTAGTCGTGTAACAAATGGTGTAGGGGTTAATAGTTACTTGTAAAGTAGTAGCTGAAAGCTGAATGTGAAGGAGTTGTAGGAGTGAAAGAAAAAAGAAGAGAGAAAGCAAGAGATGAAATGGAGGGGCAGCATCAACCTTAAATGGGCGGATCTCCCCCCCACCTTGTTGTCATCACCTCCGACTCTCTCCGGTGAGCAGAGAGGGGAATGTTGATCTTAATCGAATCATGACGTTCTGATTTGCTCAATCTTACCTTTTGTAGTCCTTGGCGATCCTGGTCTAGCCGTTGATCCAGAATGGGTAATCGGTCAATCTGCCGTAGCCATCTCGGCCATCACAATACTACGGGTATTGTTAGTTACTACTACACCAATATCCCAACATCGCCGGAACCCATTTGCAACTTGAAGGAATGTGCAATTGGCCAGAAATACTGACTAACATCGCTCACACGCTATTCACGGGAGATAAATTGAACAATTACCTCAAAACAACATCACTTTTCTCGGTTTGCCTCGGAAATCCCCAGCTCCACCAGACCCTCCGCGGACCTCAGTTCTCCGGTCTCCCCCTCCATGACTGTCCACTTCTCAATTGACGAGGGAATTAGGGTTTACAAGATGACAATTCTTGAACATGCATGTCCATACCTGTCGCTTGATATTTTGATTCGCGTACTGATCGCACAATCAAGCTAATACTGTACTTTTCGCACTCCAATCGTGACATCATACCCTGTCATCACAACTTGAACTCATAGAGATGCGGGGGTTTACATCAAGTAACTGCAGTGGAAACATATGCAAGTAAGCACTTAGGGCAGCAGTAGTACTGACTGTTGCGTCAAAAGTCCGATGTCAGCTTGGTCTGCCCCTCCCCACGTCGTGGAACCTCTTGCACCGTGGCACTCGTACTCGTACACTTGAACACTTTTATACTACACTGTGTAGAAAGGCAAATTCAAAGGTCGACACTTACCACAGGAAGAACTGTCATCCCTTCACCTTTCCCCATTCCCAACATCCTCGCCAAACCCGAGATGTCGCTAGCTCAGTCCGCCGCCATCTATTGCTACGCGGGGCTCATTCTCCTCGGCGCCTTCTCGCGCTTTACCCATGGCACCTACACACCCCAATACTACGCCTTCCAAGTAGCCCGCGCCCCAGACGATGGCTCGACAGGTTCGCGTATCATACCAGTAATCGACCTTGTCGTCGGCCTGACGCTATTACTGAGCTCGGGGAGATTGCGGATCTCGGTAGCGATTTTCAGCAGCGCGTGCTGTTTTATTGGGTTGTTCATGCGTATTCGGGAGGGGAAGGGTTTCTATAATGATACTGCTTTGCTTAGTTTGTCGGTTTATACGACAACATCGCTGATCAGGGCTAGGAGGGCTTGATGGGTGTAATTTGTTGTTGATTGATGGGACTAGTACATATTGTAGTGTGCCAGTGGACATTTATTCTCAGCAACAGAATCAGATGAATCGGCCCGGAGGGCTTGGCAATAAGAGATCAACTTTTAGGCTGCTGTTCAATTAGATCATTATCGATGGTCCATGTTCGTGTCGCCGCTTGTCTAACTTTATGGCATCAGTGAGATCTCCCTCGATAACTTTGTGCCGCTGATTCGGAACTCGTAGTGTTGACTAGGTTGATCTTAGCTCGTTGCACCGCCTTCAAGCTCCCGGCGGTATTCCTCATCGTTAAGGGCCTCGTAGAGTTTAGGCCAGCTTTGATATCGGCGTTATGAACTGTTTGATCTTCTATGGCCGTAATCTTGGCCGAGAGAAACTTAGATGCTGTCAATTCGACTGATAGCCGAGATATCTCGGATATGCTAGACTCCATGTTAGTGCCGTGACGGATTTTGGGTTCAGAAACAACAGAAGAATACAGCCAAACGATCTTCCAGGGATCCATTTGGTGCGATAGAATGTGTTGACATCTTCCCTGAGGGGCGTAGGGAATGAAGAAGAGAAAAAAAAGGACAACGGTGCGGTAGACAATATTTACCCATGGATGTAAGCAAACTTCATACTCCTCTGGAAGGTCCGTAGGACTTTGGGCAACAAAGGCGCTTTGCCGCTTGAAATTGAGGGAGGTGCTCCGGTCAACTTGAAACCTTGGAATGTGCTTCTTACTGATAATACAAATGTATTTACATCAACTCCTGTAGATGATTTGAGGAATCAAATGGTGATGGGAATCGTGCTGGAGAATCCCTCGTGCATTTTGTCTAAAGGATCTGTGTATCGCCCACGTGGTGTATAAAGCAAAGTATTTTATACGAACTGCCAATCCTGCACGAACAATTACAGAGGTAATCGGTATGAGATACATGCGATTGAATGTCATCAAAATTGCGAAAAGGGCATGGCTAGTCCATTCAAGTTGTCCCATGAAAAGTACACACTACCCACGACAGAAAGGAAATAGTATCAACTAGGGGTAGTCGCCACACTCCACCCGATAGAAGTAAGATGCCGAGCCATAGGTCCTCCTATCTAACCGATCCATGCTCTCGAAGCACTGACATTACTCCATGCGAAAAGTATCGCGTAAAACCCCGACCAAGTTGAAAGATGCTCTTCCATTCATCGACGAAAAGGGCGGGGACTGATACAATGTAAATCACGCCATGCCCATGATTTGCCCCTGGAAAATCGCCAGGCCGATGGAGGGGCGGCGAGACCACATGCTGCCGCAATTGCCGTAGGAGTTCAATCAACATGGGTCTGGGGGTTCATGTGGAGAGGACGCATCCAAGGTCGCGGGGGTAAGATGGAATCGGGAGCTTGACTGTTGAAATCCATCCGAGGAGTCGGCTCCAGAGTCCGAGGCGGTACTTGTGAATGATGAGGTGAATTTGATGAGTGTGTCAGGTGTCCGAGTCCCGGGAAACCTGAACTGCGTGGACAGACTCAGTATTCCCTACCTTTCCGTAACCACAATGTCCATGATTATATCAGGCTTTGAAGCACCCTTATCAGGGCTCTAGCGGAGAGCGTATCGAGAACCGAAGCAAGCGCAACCTTAACAATGGGATCGAGGTGGGAATGATCCCGGATTCCCCTGGAAGGCGAGTTCCGCAAACATCAAAATGCGAGCGAGGTCTTCGAGATCTGGAATGATACTGGTTATCCTGAAGGAAATGCAGAGATCCATCACGGTGGAGGTGAAAAGCGATGAAGCGCCATGGTTGAGTAGATATGATACTCCCTCCTATGAACGAAACGCTGACTTGCGTACCTGCGAATAGGCGCTGCAGAAGCTTAACGCAAAGGATTTAGACTGGACACAGTGAAACTTTATCTCTCCCAAAGCTGTACCTATTTCTCTGGCGGAAGGAGGAAATGACGTGGCGAAGAGGTACGTAGATTGGGGGAAGAAGGAAGAAAAAATACAAGGACAACAGAGGACAGCCAATATTATAGGTAAACAACATACTGCGCGCGGAAGGTACACCTGACAGAAGTTGCCTAGACTACGGGTAACAAGCACTTTGCAATTGAGGAAGGTGCCTAGGGCTCGGTATATTCCAATAATCTAAACTTTCAAGTTACGATTATAGCACATACCTAAAGCTCGCACCATAATTATCCTCGGACAAACCAGCATCAGGCTTAGTCGAGTCAGCCTCTACCTTCGGGCCAAACTTTTTATCAAGTTGTTTGTTCTCCCAAACCAGGAGCACGCGAAGACAAAGCGCAAGCAAGGAAGTGAAGAACATAAATGCCGCACAAACCGACATGCCTTTAATATAACGTGGAGCCGAAGTATCAGGGAACATATTAGTTCCGAGGAAAGGACCGCATTGACCGATGACATTGAGTAGGATGATACCGCCACCACGACGAGTATCGGATCCCTGATTATCTGAACAGAACAGTGTACGTTAGCTAGGACAGAACGGAGACAAAAATTGATTTGAAACAAGTCAAAACTCAAAGGTACGGATAGACTTACTCAAAACCCAAGGCAAAATATTAGCGATCGACGGAAAGACTCCACAAGCGGCGAGAAAAACGCCGAAATAGCGCACGCCGACGGAGCTGCAGGCCACGCACAGGATGTACCCCACACCGCCGATCATCGAGAGAAAAGCGATCATCAGTCCACGTTGCTGAATCCGATCCGCTACATAAGTGGTTGCGATCGTCGCGATGAAGGAGGCGAAAAAGGGTGGTGCGGTGAGGCCTTGGGCATTGACGGCCGTGAAGCCCATTTCCTTTAGGATGGTTGGTAGGAATACCGGTAGCGAGGAGAAACTGACGTTGCAGCTGAAATACATGAACTGGGCAATGGTTAGTGATGAGGACTCGTTCTCGATTGTGTTTTTCTTCTTCTCTGGGTCGTTTTCTTTGGTCCTCGAATTGCGCTGGCTGTACTTACTGCTGTAAACCATGCTTTCGCGTCAAGGAGGGTCATCGCCAATTCCTTCCATTGTACTTTTCCCTCTCGCTCCGCATCCCCAGCTTGTTGGATTCCACGAGCTCTCGCGACTTCCTTTTCCTCCTCGGTCAAGAATTTCGCCTTCGCAGGAGAATCCGGCACATAGAACCAAGCCAAGAGAGCGGCCGCGCAAACCGGCAGACCTTCGACCAGGAACAGAAGTCGCCAATTAGCGATCGCGGCATGGCCGGAAGTAATACCGTATGCAAGGGCACCGGCGAAAGTATTCGCGAGCGGGGCAGCGGAGAGGAAAAGACCACATCGAAGGCCGAGTTCATGGCGTCGGTAGAAGAAGGAGAGGAGGTAGGGTACGCCGGGACCGAAGCCAGCTTCGAAGGCGCCCATCAAGAATCGCAAGGCCATCATGCCTTCCCAATTCTTTGCGGCCGCTTGGCAGGTGGAAACCAGACCCCTGTATGTTGCATTAGTATACATGTCACAAAGTACAAAGCACCACCTTTCCTTCACATGGGTGCGTACCAAGAAAACACGACAAAGGCCGCCCATTGATGTGGTTTGACAATCTTCCACATCAAGGCCTGGAATTCGAATAAGGTATATGAGATGTAGAATATCGTGAGCAGCCATGAATATCGGCCACTGTCTAGCTGGAGATCCTCCTCCATCCCGGCGATCTTGGCATTTCTGTCTGGCGGTCAGTCTTGTTTGGAACTCATGCTGTGCGATCGTGGACACACCCGATGTTACTTCGGTCTAGGAAGGCAAGGAGATCTAAGGAGAGGCGGATATTAGCAAAAGGTTCAAGACTGCGAATAAGTCGCAAAGGAACGTACAGAAAAATCCCATCAAAGTCGGAACTCGCCAATCCAATTTCCTCAAAACCCTCCTTTCCAACTCGGGATCAATTGTCGCAGGCAGGACTACCGGCTGGATGGGCTGGCTGGGCGCCTCTTCATGCGAAGGAATACGCTTCTCGATATCCGGATCTGGTGGCGCCCGCTGGATCTGATCCTCAGGATAATCCGCCTTTCCAAAGAACCCCATATTGTATAGCTGTCAGAGAGGTTTCTCGTCAATTCAATCGTAGGGTACCCTAGGGCCTTGGGTATGGGCAAAAAGAGAAGCGGACTTTTTCCGGGGATGAGGGGGAAAAAGTCCGGGGGGCGCTGGGATCTTCTTATGGGGGAGGGAGAAGCGAGAGAAGCGAGTGTTGATCGGCGACATTGTAACCCGCTTATGGAGTAGAAGCGCCCCCGCGGATTTGGGGTATCCTCGGTCAAAGTGCGTCTGTGGCGGAAGTGATTGGCACCCTGCGATGTTCCCCGCTGAATTACGGTGGAGCTGGTGGTCTTTGGAGATGGCAAACTCAGCGGGGTCAGCCAATCCCATTGCGGTGTTTTTTGTGGAGGAAGTCTGCTTCGAAGCTTGGGTGGAGCCACAAAGCTTGCGGTTGTAACCCTCGGCTTGGTCATTGCCGTGCAAAATGAGACACAAATGAGGTGGGGCTTGAAATGTGTTGGTTGCAATGATCGATGGGCGCACATTCTCAAGGGAACCCTGGGGGGAGTTTAAGGTAAAACTCGGGCAATCTGGCAATCTGATTCTCGGCCCGAATTTCGGGATCGCAAGGAGATTCGGTCGGACGAGCATTGCAACCCTCGGGCTAAACATCAACTTGCACTAGGCGATCCGCAAATAATAATTGACTAACTCCTGCGATCATGTCAAGTATTCTGTTATTTTAGAAGGTGTTCCCAGCACTGACATCATTTATTAGGCCAGAATATCCCAAACTCGCAACGGCTTCCAGTTCCCGGGAGCTTTCATAGTTGCACAAGAATGACATGCAGTAGACTCCCTAATGTAAACCGAAAATTGATCTTTTGAGTTGAAAAATCAGACCTCGTATCAATTCCGCCATCAACGAGCTCCCGGAGATCAAGATGCTTTTCCGAGGAAGGAAGGTTGATGCGGATACGAGTCTAGTCTTGGCTATGCGTGTTTCAATGTGAGTCAGATTGGCGGTCGCTTGATGACCAGTATATCCTATTCCAAGGTTTAAATGGTTCAAACTTCCCCACTTACCTCCTTGTGCAGTGCTTCTACAACTTCGATCAACTGTCACTGACTGATATCTGGTTTTCATCCTGCTCAAAAGATCAACTTCATAATGACCGACCTTCAGAATACACTGGCGAAACGATTCAAGGATTTGCATAAGCCCGGCGATCCAGTCATCCTAGCAAATGTATACGATGGAGCCTCAGCAAAGCTAATCGCCTCATTGCCACAATCCAAGGCAATTGCGACCGCAAGTTTCGCCGTCGCAGAGGCTGCGGGCATGAGTGACGATACGCTCAGTAGAGAGGAACTCCTACGCGCGGCCAGGAACATTGCAACCTCGATTCACCCCTTTGGTAAACCTTTGACAGTCGATGCACGGGATGGCTATGGAGAACAGCTTGCTTCAACAGTTAAAGAATTAATCGAAATCGGGGTCGTCGGTATCAACCTGGAGGACTTTGATAACGACGCCAAGAAATTGTACACACAATCAGAGGCTGTGGATCGAATCAAACAGGCACTCCAAGCTGCGGCAGAGTCCGGAGTCCCGGAATTTGTTATCAATGCTCGCTGCGATGCATTGCTTCATGATGGGAGCCTCGACGAGGTCATCGCTCGCGGTCGGGCCTATCTGGCCGCCGGTGCCACAACCGTGTTTGTTTGGGGCGGTAGGCCTCGAGGTATCACTCGGGATGAAGTGGTGAAACTTGTTGAGGCATTTGATGGTCGATTGAATGTATCTAAGACTAAAGATGGGCTTACACCGGCAACGTTAGCAAAGATCGGTGTTGCAAGAATCAGTATCGGGCCTGGGCTTCAGCGGGCGGCATTGGAGAAGATGAAGGAGATGGCCGAAGAGCTCTTCGTATCTTGAGGATATAGGCTGGCTATCTACTCGTAGGGAATTAAGTCGCCTATTTCTTTCTATCACCGTCAGTGGCGACAGGCGTGAATCAACAATACATGGTATCCCGGTTCCTTCTTTTGATTTAGCTTTCAATTGAAGTATGAGAGTAGAAGAGTTGTTACTTTCGATGAAGCCAATTCAAGGGAGACTGGGTAGGCCGAAAATGGCCACTATCTCCCCCATTAGCTCTCCATGAGAAGTGGCGCGGGAGGACTAGCAGTCGCACCACCACCAACCCCGATGGCGAAGATCTACGGACATTCGACCTGCGGTACCCAGTAGACCCAGACCGATACTACGACGTCGAGCGAAGCCTAGGCAAGAAGACAGAAAACGCGCCTACAGATGGACGGAACGAGGACGCAGATCACCAAATATCAAATGGTTCAGACGATCAAGCCGTGGTGATGAATTGGTTCGCGAAGAGGACGCCGTTGGTGATGAACCTTGGAAGAAGATATACAGGAACTGGAAGTCCTTCCAATTCTTCAGGTACCGTTCCACAACTTCAAGTTCACAATCAGCTCAAGTTAAGAACATTTGTGTATGTAATCTGTGAAACTAGGATGCCGTGGCTTCTTTCAGTTACCCGTACTAGTAGATGTTGTAGATTCATGACTCCTATTTCTGTTGCGGATGGTAGTGATAAACTGTTGAAGGCAACGCTGAGTTGAAACTTGAACCCCTCAACACTATTCAGAGCGACAACATTGATACACAGAAAGATTCATTAGTGAAGTTCCCCATGCCTCACTTAATCCATTTCCTCCACAGGGGTCAGCTCAGCAACTGTTGCTTCCAAGAAAAAAATCTGTTCCCTTAAGAATGCGGTCATATTGGGAATGCTGAAAGGACGTTTGGTGTCCACTCTCTTCTGTTCCTCCTTCATCTTCAAACGGAGCCTATCCTCAAGAAGTTCCAGCCGATACCCGGTAAATCCATGATAAAGCTCAGACCAATTGCTTATTGCCCTCGAGCCAGTCAGGACAAGTTCGTCACGGATGGAAGGATCTCGCGGTCGGAAAGGAGTCACCATACTGATACGCTCGAGACCTCCTATAGCCTTTAATGCCTGGTGCTCGATGTATCGCCCTTGAATGACTACAGCAGTTCCCTAGAAACCAGTCAGAGCTCAGCAATTGATAATAAAATTGTTCCCAGTTTCAAAGCTTACCATTTCTGGCCCCCGGATTTTCTTTATATCACCTGCAGGTGTCCTGATTGCAGTCTCACCCCCTACCATATTACTGCAGTCTGAGAGCATAGTCACACAGACAAAGGGAAAGCTGTCATAGTGCCATGCAAAGGCAGAGACATCCGGTTCTTGTTTGTAATCAGAACCGGCCACACAATCCTTCTTCACGGAAATATTAATGTTCGCGATTTCGTAGTCAAACGCTTGAACAAGATCAACACCTGCTACCTGGGAAACCAGGGCTTGCAGTTCTGGTGAGCTCCAAGCATCACAGGTAAACGGCGCCCGCCTGTGAGAATAGATCAGCCACAAACAGAAAATAAACTAATATAGTCGGAAACGTACTCCCGTCCCATTCCCCTGATCATGCTTTTTGCAAATGTTGACGAATACTGGCAATCCCGCAACACCGACTCACTGAATATTTCGCCTCGGATTTGCCTGATTGCTTCGGGGGAGAAAGTGGGAAAGGCTCCGATGCAGCAATTGGAGAAATTCCCCGACCATCAAGGCCAATCTCTTTCATGGTTGTCACGCCCTTTGGCGGACTAAAGTTCAAATGTTTACCGGCATCGAAGACTTCCTTCTTGGCCACTCGGGCACCATCGATGAGGGATTGGGGTAGGGGGTCGCTTGGACGAGTCGCCTTTTTAGTCGCAGGGCCGATCACTGTCGGTGGTGCCGGGCGTGAATCAGCAATGTACGGCATTTCTGATTTTTCTGTTCTGTTGGTCTTTCAATTGGAGTAGTAGTAGTAGGTATACTAGTAAGAACTGGAAAGCTGTTGGTTCGAACGAAACCTATGCGAGTGCCATTGTCCTTTTATGACACTTTTCGAATTCGTTTCTATCATGTAACTCCATCGATATCTTTGGAAAGGAATCCACCACGCAGGCACTCCTCCCGATATTCCGCCAAAAGATAGTTCGGTTCGTTGAACCGTATGCCGGACGGCATCTCGGGAGGCAAAGAAGTTAAGAGATTTGGATTGATCAATACATAGGCTGCCCGACTTTCCGATGAAGATGTCGAAAATTGCGGTTCATCGGGTAATGAAGCAGTTTAGCGTTGGCCCCTTGTCCCTCCCACGGGTTCATCGGGTAGAAAGTAGACCGGCAATATTCGCTACCTGAGGGGCTATTCCCAGACAGTTGGCGCTAAGCAAGGTAATTGATTGATCACAGCTACCAGGTGATAAATGGACGGAGTGGATTAAACTGGCGATAGGTGTCTAGAGACAAGAGCGAGTGAAGTTGATTACTGTTACAAAGGCGACTTTCACACCGCGGATTTTTGCCTTGGTGCCTGAGGCAATCGTATCATGGCATGTTTTCAGGTACAGCGTTGCGACAAATTTACATGCGGTTTATATAAAGTTTTGGATCGCAATCTGGCTGTAGGCCATTCAAATTATAAATCAAAATCAACTGGGCTTATTGGAATTCCCTCTGCTAACCACTCCGGCTGCGGGTCCAATATCCCATGGGCAATATCGTGGGCGCTTATCTGGTCCACGATGGCAAGGAATTCGTTGGATGAAATTCCAATAGCCTCGAGACAATAGGGCCCTTGAGCTAGTGGATCTTGCGTTAAGCTGAACGATTCCGAGTCTTCTTCTGATGCAGTAGACCATTCCAAAGCCGCGGGATTCCCTTGCTCCTCGACAATATCCATTCCGGAACTAACACTCTTTTCTGGTGCATTGGACAGTGTCAGACTTTGAGCCCCTTGCTGCTCGATTCTTTTGGAAAACTCTTGGAACAAAAACTGCATGTGGGTAAGCTCTGCTATTCGAACTTCTGCGACTCGGTTACCTCCCGAGACCAGCTGTTCAAATATGCGATGAGCTGTTTCTGTGTGGTGTTGTTCTTCATTGTCAAATTGAAATACTGCATGTGCTATTGTCAGGTAAAGTGCAGCAGAGAAAGTGAATTCCAGATCGAATGGTAGGAAGGTCTCTAAAATTATAAGGTTAATTAAGGAATCGCGGACCGGAAGGCTTATAAACAAATGCATCAGCATACCAAGAATTATTCCTTCGTCTGATAGGATCTCTAGCGACTTGACGGCCGATTTAATTCCAATAGATACTAGGCTCCTCGGAAGAATCAAGAGTCTCAGCCACTCTTGCTCTGGTCGATCCAGCTTTTCCATCCTTTCTTTCAAAACGGAAAGAAGAAGTGGCCGGGTCGCAATGATCACACACTTAAGAGAATATTAAGAGAATTGTTAGCAAGGACACATGAAATTGACTTCACAGTAATGCGGTATCATATACCTGATGATAAAGCAGGATTATGTGCCGCATCGCATGAGACATGGTATCCATTGAAGCGTTGAAACTAGTAGGAAAGGCGTCTTCGATTTCTTCGGCGAGGCGTGCCATTGTCTGGAGTATCTCCCTTGTAAGATCCAAGAAATGGCCTAGTTGTGTTTTCTCGGTCTTGAAAATTCCTAAATCGAAGGAAATGGTTTCAGAATATTGGGCGATCGGAAATATCAAGTATAATGTTTCGACTTTTGAGTTTGTACCTACTGCTCAGTATGGAGGACATCATTTGTGATAGTCGCACTTGTAGGCTAAGAGTTGCATTGTCAGAAGCCCCACCGGATACGTTCACAAGAGTTGAGATATCGGCATCTTGCACCGTCATGGGTAGTCCTAGTGCAGACGATATTTGACGATCAATAACATAAAGTGTCCACCAAATATTCCGACATCGGGCGACTGTGGCATAGCCCAACTTATCTTCAGGAAGCTGGGTGTGAAGTCCCTCTAATTGTGCAATCCTTATAGCCTGACCAATCTGATTCGATGTGGGTAATCCGTCAGTAGTAAATTTAGTTGAACTGGTTCCAACACACGGTCTCTTAAGACTTACATATGAGTGCGCGCCCTCCCTGTGATCTATAGAATAAAGATATAGGGAAATCAGAGCCAGGATTTCGATAACAGCCAAGCTTTCCTTCCCTGTAAATGTTTGATTTGGCATTAGAGACATGGCACGTAAGAATAACTTTGACCCGGCGGGATCCCCTTCCATCTTTGTCCTCAGAGAAAATACCTTCCCGAAGGCGAGAACTAGAAGTAGCTGAACGAACCACATCTCCGAATGGACAACTTCACCTGATGCACGGCCTTCGTAAAATTCGTGTATCTGAGTAGCGAAATCATCATTGAAAAGTCGATAGATCTGACCAAGATAAAATTGGACAGTGTTGAATGCATGAATTGCCTGCTCAGCTGAAGGTAGAGGGATAGCGCTACGACAATCCGGAGTCGTATGTAGGTTTTTCCAGTCGAGTGGGTAAATATCCCCATCCAAGTGGAACTGCAGATCATCTTTTCGGACTAAGTTGAGTTTCTCGCTCATCATTACGGCTAGCCTTGCGACGAAAGACCAAGGGGACGTCGGCGCTAACCATACTGTTCATACTTAGCTTGAGAAGATAGTCGGCTCAGGATATTGTACTGACGCCAGTTTCGTTTTGCAGTCGCTTTGTCTTTAATGACGGTAGAAGGCAATGTAAACGGACTTGTCCATATGTTGAGCATTAGCTCGGTCTCCTCGGGTAGAGCTCCCACTTCAAATCCAGCAGGCTCGGATAAGGATGTTGTGTCACACAAAGTTGACGTCCCATGACTTTGTTCGCCAGGGTCGGAGGTACCTCGGAAACGGCTAGTAGGTCCGATAATCTTTGACCTTGCATGATTCTCAAGATCACGAAGGTATCTAGTTGTTTCAGGTAAGATATGGAGAGAGTAAACTTGAAAATGTGGTGCGCTAACCTTTCGGATACCAATATTTTAGTGTTGGAATCGGAAAAATAACAACGACTCCCCCGGCGGGTGCAATTTTGACAGGGTAACTCTCCGGTGCATTTTATTTTGCTCCGCCGACAAGCAACACAACTAAATTAAGTGTCAGTTGATAGTTACAACGCAGGACCTGCTTTGGCGATGGAAGATCATGCTCACGCTGTCGCTGTCCGCTTTGACCTGCGATTTTCTCTCGGCTTCTGCATTCGTCCAGGTTGTATGAGCTAGATGATGCGTCCAAAACAGAGACCAAATCTCAAAAATAACCTCAGTATTTACTTCCATGTCCCGCCGGGATTCTCCTGGGGGTGTTGACCATATTCCTCCTCCTCTTCGTTTGGTTTATTTAGCAGCTTTGCAGGATCGGGATCTATCCGAGTCCCGATCCAGCTTTGGGTCTTTAGAAGTAGACGAATGGGTTCCGTGGGATAGTTTGCCATAATTAGGCAATTTGATGCGGGTCTGAGTTGCAACTGGGTAAACAAACCCGACAATCCCGAAGAAGCCGAGCTGCTCATCCCGATGTGCCGAGGGTGCCCAGGTGCGCTAATATGAAGCGGATTTCATGAATGCTTTGGTGAGTAAATATTCAAAGTCCCAATCAATGTATTGAAGTATCTTGGCTTTGAGGGTGCTACTAGAAGCTCTGGATATTACTAGTGGTATCTACTGATACCTACTAGTCGGTATTTCCAAGTTATGTCCTCTTACCCTGTCATATATATTCCAAAGTTCAGGCAAGTTAGCGTCCACTCCGACTAAAGTAAATCGGTTAAAGGTTCAAGTTTCAGGAAGAGATAGTAATAATCTCCCAGCTGAAATGGGATGTATTCAATTAATTTCATTTTTTCGATATCTTGTAATGCTGATTTGAAATTTGCGACGTTCGTGAACGTATAGATATGTTGCTGCCTCAGGTGTCATGCACAGTTGGTCACTGTGGCGCACCCCACCGCATCAAAAATCTCCCGCGTCGCGTTTGCCAGGAGCTCCATCATCAGCCCTGACCACGCCGACCCGCTCTCTCTCACCTCCCCATCATCCGAGAGAACCGTCTCATTTACCTCGGCCCATATACACCTCTTTGCGACCCAATTGAAGCCATCTCACACCCTTCTAGGGTTCTAGCCAAGATGGATGACCCGGCATCCCGTATCCGGGGCAGCTGGTACGATCCCCCAACGCGACATCCACGCTCCCCACAAGCTCCCTAGCTCGAATATCAAAAGCTGACCCTGTCGCAATGACTATAGCTCCCTCATATGCACTTGATCTCCCGGAATCGCTACCCGAACATGCACATGATGCCCCCGGAGACCGCCGTCGAGTACCTGGCTAGCGCACCCCGGATTTGCCAATCACAACCTATGCATTGGACTTTTCTGGATGGCCCTGGTGACGGTACTGTTATGCTAACATGGCAACCGCTCGCGCATTTGGGCAACAACTTTGCCAGTGATGGTTATGTTTGGGCTGATGCCGAGCAGGGACATATACTGGAGGTCCGAGGTTATGTACGTTTGATCCACCCCCAGCTTGAGACTGATAAGCTCTTTCGCATTATAATCTTTCAACAAGCTAATTTTCCCAACTTCAGACCGTTGAAGTATTCGTTCACCGCAGCGGTTACCACCCCCCGAATGAGAACATGGCCACCCACAGTCGCAAGCGTTATCGCATCGTTTCTACCAAGATCGCCAACGCCCCCCAACCAGACCCTTCCCTGTGGATTGTCCACTACTCGCGCGCGCCTCAGAATGACCAAATTCCTGCCAACCGCATCCCCCCCCACCCCGCAAGTACAACAATCAATGAGCCAACGACGATTCCTCCAAAGCCAAGGTCAACTTGCTCGCAAGGAATTCCTCCTGCACGACCGTAACAACTGGCCCACTATCAACTTCCCACAACAGGTGGGCCAACAGGGTTTTGCCCAACCCCAACAACCTTATCAGGGCACCCCACAGGCACGACCTGGCTACTACCCGCCTCAGGGTCACCCTGCTGCGGCTGCGCCAGTTCCTCCTCAGCCCAAGGTCCCCCGCCCTCATCGTGCTTCTTCAGCTGCGATAGCGGCGGCGGCCGGCGAATTCGCACTCGAGGATGAAGATGTGTCTAGCGGTGACGTCTTGGATGCACTTACACCCCGCGAAGTTAGCAAGATGCGATACGTGCAGCACCACGAATGGATGGAGGAGATCTTCGCCTCGCCATACTCCATCTCACAGATCACACCCGTTTCCCTCGGTTTGGGGCGTAAGGGAGAACTCCAAACGTTGACGGATGGGTTCTTCGACGCGCCTAACGCAGAAGGTCAGGGTGAAGAAAATGTCCCCGATGCGACCAAATTAGAACCAGCCAAGGCGGAGGAATTTGCCGATCGTGTCACCAAGAAGGTAGCCGATATGACGGCTGAGATTGAGAAGTTGAAGAAGCAACACGCACAACGCATGGAGCGCTTCAACCGCAGCTCCCTGTTCAAGGATGCTGAACTACGTCTCCGCGAATCCGCTGCGAACCCGGCAGAGTCGGGCCCGGAGGTCTGGCGACTTGAAGGTCGCATCGTCGTTCCCTCCGATGAAGATGCTACGCCCCAGCTGGATTTCGTGGAGGAGGAGAAGGCCAAGTACAAGGTCGATGATGTTGTGCGCGAGGTGGAAACCAACTGGAAGAAGCAAATCATGCCCGAACCCAAGGTTTCGTGCGTGGAGAAGGGCGGTCTATTAGAGAAGATTGAGCCCGAGCAGGTAGAGCCCGAATCATTCACCAATGACATGGTTCTGGACGACGACACTAACCTCCAGAACCAATTCGATACATCTGCTCCCGCTACCGCCGAGCAGTCTGTGCCTGGCGGAGTGCCCGGCGACGTCGAAATGGATCTGGGCGATCAACTTGCCGGCGGACCAGGCGAGAACAGCGAATGGGTGATGGTGAACAACGAGAAACAGGAGGGTCATGCGGGTGGCGATGCCAGCCTCGAGAGCGGGTTCGATTTCACCAACATTGACAGCGCCGGTGATGCCCTGGCCGCGTACACGGAGCAGAATGATGGCCTTGACCTACCCGATCTGGACAATTCGGCGTTTGGCGATGCTTTCCATGCATCTGATAATGAGCACTCGCACCACCCGGACGCGGATGACATTTCGTAGCTTTTGTGTCCCAATTGAAATTTATGAAAGGCGTTTCTCCTCTTGATGGGTCCATTCTGCGTTCTAGCATGCTGCACGTTCTTTGCAGTTTGCTTTGGGTGTTGGTCGGTGTGTGGGTATGGAGGTTTTGACGATTTCCTGTTTCTAATTGCTTCAATTCTTTTTGCTGTATGATAAAC